TCTAAGTAATTCGCGTAAGAAATTCAATAATTACATTTATATGTGTGTACATAAAAAGTGGTCAGAATAGTAGGTTTAAGTAGTAAAAATGTTTGTATACTTATTTCTATTAATATTTGTAAATTTTTCAAGTTAAATAGTTCTCACCGCTTTAGATGGACTTACAAAGGTGGCTTCTGCCCTGTTTTCAGATAAAAAGCAGGCAGCGGCGATAAAGTTAACCATTAACCATTAACCAAATAAGTCCTGTGTGTGTTATCTCTCTTTTCCCCTGCATGAGAGACATGCTGTGTCTGGGAACAGGAGATTCCAGCAGGCTGGGAGAGCTGTTCCTGGCTGCTTCTTGTCGCTCTGTCACTTTTGTTTTTTAAATTGAATATTCAGACGCGGAAAAGAGGTTGGCAGACCTCTCGGACAGTCCTTGGTATCGGTTTGACAAGAATAAGGTAAGCAGACACCTTTTTATAATGTAAAGTCTGTATAATTGGATATTAGCTAAATTTTGGTCTGTTTTTTGGGTCTGTCAAACTCTCTAAATTGTATTTGAAGAAGTCTCGGGGTTAGAATCCCTTTGAGAAGAAGATAAAGTGTAGGATCCTTAGTGAAACCATGGTATAAAAGTAAAAGCAATTTAAAAAAGGGAAATGTGAAAAAGAGGCCTTTGTTACAAAAGCTTTGAAATTGACGAATTTCAGGCTGATAAATGACAAAAGTAAAGAAGCAACAATATTTTCAGTGATCACGGTTTAAATTACATACAGAAAAAGGGAGTTTTTTGTTTTTTAGTTTGTTTATTGGCGTGAACAGAGTTCACCGGAGAATGCAGAGTTTTATCTACAGTTAAGCTATGAGAGGGTTGTATATCCAACAGTTGTTTTTGTTTTTTAGAAAGAGATTTTGAGTTTAAATTAGTTTGCTACCTTGATAAAATAGAAGCGTAAACGTTAAGGACAAGAGTGCCTTTTGTTACAAGTGTGGAAATTGATCACTTCTAGGCTTTAGATGACAAAAGTATAAAGAAAAACATCAGACATATTCTTGAAATTGAGTGTAAATTGCATATATTTGGTATATTTGGCTTTAGTATAACTTCTTGTGAATTATAGGAATTTTAGTTTGGTTTTATGTTATATAACACTTAAAAGTAATCTTGAAAGTTATTCTGATAAGGAATTCTTACTGCTGTATGTCTGTGTGTGTGCGTCTCTCTCTCATGCTGCGTTGCCAGGGTAACCGCCCCCGCCCTCGCGGCTCTGCTTTCTCTCTGCTCTTCTGCTCTGATTTAAAGGGGACCTACTGCTTTTAGGAGTTTGGCTTTTCATAGTTGTTTTTCCGTTAAATTTGCGAAATTTGCCATTTGAACATTGTGTTATGACACAGTTAAACGTTTTTAAACACCATTTAGTAAAAAGAAGTTTTGAATTAGTATGTTTTTGAAACCCAAAAATTAGTGCTAAAGCTGTGCAATTTTTTTAGATCTAACATATTTCTAGATTCCATTCTTTTAAATCTGCTGCTTATTTCTTAACTGTTTGTGAGTTGTGTTTGTTTTTATGTTTTTATTTTTAGTTACAAAAGCCGTTTTTCAAACATTTAAATTGGAATCTGTGTTAAAAGTTATTATTGATTATAGACTTCGTCTAAAAAAGAAAGAGGGAATTAGTATTATTAAGTTAAACTTCACCCAATTCACATTCAAGTGGTGACTTTTGTTTTTGTTTTGACTACACGCCTGACCTTGTTGCTCCTCCTGCTGATGCACACAGCAGAGGAGACTGGCTCTAAAATGTGCTCCATTTCATATTGACTTCATTTGAAAAATGCTGCAATTATTTTAAATTAGTAGAATATATGCTGAGATAAATGTTCAAGATAATTAAAACACACAGTACAAAAGTACATATTACATATTTTAAAGTTTTTTTTTTTTTTTGAGATTTGAGTCTTGTTTTTTATATTAAGAGTTCCTGGTCTTAAAAATGTTATCAGTAGTAAGATAATAAGTAATCTATATTTACATAGCTCTTGGAAACCAAGAGCGCTCCAAAATTGTTTAGACTTAGAGAGAAAAACAGTCTCATTCACATACTGATACTGTTTTAATTTGACTATAAGGCTGTTTTCCAGAACCAAGGACACACACTGTACAGGGTCACTGGACTACTGGACTGGACACTGAGGGATCAGAACAGTGGAGCCCAGAGTAGACACCATCCAACCAGCCGCAGATCGTAAAGGCGACATAGCTACCTCCGTGTGCCCCTCCCCCACTACAGACCGATGGTCGTAGGTGGCAGTGAGACCGGGGCCACAAAGTGGGGTTTTCTGTAGGCAGTGGTGGGTGAGTTGTTTTGCAATCTGGAAGTGTGTCCAGTTGGTTTACATCACCACAGTGTGACCTTTGAGACCTACAGGTGGTCCGAGGAGTCTGGAGACAAAATTCATACATACATACATCTACACACACACACATTCACATTTACATATAGATACATGAAAAAGCAGAACATGAGAAAAAAAGCATTTTAAAAGTTTACTCCAATGTAAACACATATTTTTAATTGTCTATCACTTGAATCTTTAGTTGAATCAGTATTTTTTGAGACCAGAAATGTTCATTTGAATTCTATATTGTCATGGACTTAATTGACGTCTGTCCTGACACTTTTGATTTGTTGATTTTGTACTGTGTGAAGTAATTACATTGATTAGGATTAGATCTGGTAAAAACACAAATTAGAGAAGTAAACTGCGCTTGCTTTTGTCTAAGGGACATTAGCAACAGCATGAATAGAAATTGTCTTTAAAGTAGAATCAAAGTGACTTAACAATAGAGAGTAACTATTGCATAACAAGCTGTGTACAGGAACTGTGACACTGCACCATTGACCAGAAGTGCATCGCAAATGACCTGATGTGCTTCGAGTGAAAAGACTGTATCTGGAGAGACCAAAACCATGGCTTGGACCCTACTGATGTCCAAGATGACATCTCTCGAAATATGAACCTGATGAAGACTGAGACTCACCCTCAGGGGACACTGAGGATCTGAGGACCTGAGGACCTGAGAGAGAAAACTGGGGAGTGATGTTTATATTATTGAAATCATGCCATTGATGAGTGCTAAATGAGACAGATACTCATGATTCTTTCTTTTGTTTTTGTTTGTCCCTAGCTTCTGGACATCTGATGATCTATTGGACACAGACATTTGCAGAACAAGAACCAGCCAATGAAAACCGTCTATTGCTGATGCTTTTGCTACAACCAGAACCACAACTGTGACAAATGCAATGAATGTAAAGTATTCAGACATCAGACAGACAAAACTTTGACTTTTTAGTCTGGGAGACTGAGCAACAGTTAAAATGTTTTAAAATGATAAAGTATGAGTATTGTAGCGTTTTAATAGTAGTAAAAAGTAGAATTGTCCTTCCTTTGTTGTTCATAAACACATTTCTACATAAGAGTTAAAATAGTACCATACAATGTTATCTCTGATAGAGCAGATATAATATTAGAATCAGAGTTATTTTAGAGATATTAAAAGTGACAGAAGTCACAAACTAGGAATATGCCTTTGCTCAAGCTGCAACCGAGCTTTAGAGTCACAATAGAGTAAAAATAGGAATAGATAAATGCATCAACCATAGACGCTTTCAAAAATAGAGAATATTTCTAGTCATTGGTAATATCAAATGGTAAAGGGACCATTCCACAAACCTTTGCTTCAAAAGTAGATAAAGTTACTTACAGTTTTAAGGAAAGTAAACCACAGAATAGAGAGATTTGTTGGATTGAAATGTATGTTTAAGAATGTGGCTCAATGGAAGCAAATATGCAAACATATTTGTAGGTGGATTGGAATAGTTTTAAACTATAGTGAATAGTAAAAGTAAAGTACACAGTGTAAGATTGAATAGTGAAAATAATACAGTGAAATAAATGAAGTGTAAATAATTAGCATTAGAATAAAAGTATAGAGTAAGAAAAGTGAAATTAGCTTCAAATTTGAGACTCAGCTCGTTTTTGTCTGTGTTTTGACTGAATCTGCTGAGTTCTTGTGTGTCCAATAGAGTTTGTTTTTGTTTGTTTTGTTTTCCAGGATAGAGGATAAAATCCACTGATATTGATTTAAATATTGATTTGTGATCACATGTGTATGTGATCAAGAGAGGGACTGTGAATATTTAATTATTTTCTGCCTGCTAAAATGTCATGTTAAACAGAGTTCACTTGTACTTTGAACTGCTTACAGAAGCATGGAAACAGATAAGACAGAACAAACAGTAAACATGTGCAGTATGGATGGTGTACGTTGGAGTTTGCTCCATTACAAAACAGTTATATCACAGTTGTACGTTGAAACCATATGTTTACTTCTGCATAGTCATGCTTCTCAGAATCTATGCTTACATAATCATTTACAGTGTATATAAGCAGTTAGCCTTTGTCAGTACTTCAGACTTCTGAGGCCAGACAGGATGGGAGGCTGCGTTATGCTTGTTCAGACTACGCTCAAACCTTCTGATAATAAAGACTTTATTTTGCAGTTTTGTCGAAGTCTCGTTTTGTCTTACGTCTGGGTATATTCACACAACCTCATCCCTCTCTATTAAAGTTACTTAACATTACCTGGACCTTTTTGATTCGTAACATCAAATTTAAATGAAAAAATAGCTACTTAATGTGGACTGACCAAGTGCGTCCTCACCATAGTGCTCATACCTGGATTTACAAAGAAAATATTGTAACGTAAACAGGATCACAGAGAGCACTAAACCACAGATTTAAGCCCAAAATGGTGAGTGTGACACAAACTATTACTGAACTAGAGGAGTTACTTTTACATTTAAGTCAATGGGAGTCAGACTTCACTATGAGCACTTCCCTATTGGGCTTTATTGAACTCATGGGTTAGCATTGAGCTAGCAGGTTAGCGTTGGGCTAGCAGGTTAGCATTGAGCTAGCAGGCTAGCACAGTCGGTGTGTCCACAGGGTCAGAGCAGCTCGTACTGCCGCAGGTGCATTCTCTGGATGATGTCGCGACAGTCGTTGAAGACGCGGCGGATGTTCTCTGTGTCGATGGCACAAGTGAAGTGAGGATAACAGTAGTGTTTCCCATCTCCACTGGCAGTGCTGATGTGCTGGAACACAGACACCATGAAACCAGGGGGACCGGATAGACCAGGGACCAGAGAGACCAGGGACCAGAGAAAGACCAGAGGGACCATAGACCAGGAACTAGAGGGACCAGAGAGAACAGGGAGAGACCAGAGAGAGACCTCTCCCATCACACTAATCTCAAGGTTTGGTAAACGTTTGACAATAGTCTTCTTTTTACCAGAAACTCGTCTCTGATGAATAACTTTGCTCTGGTCACTTTTGGATCCTCGTCTGCGTCAGGGACAGCTGCAACAAACAGTGGTAAAAATAGTTAAGGCTGTGTGTGTGGGTGCGTGTGTGCACTTGTTTTCAACTCCTGGTGGGGTCCATAACCTGAGATTTCACTCACGTAACGGGGACTGGTTTTACATCGCAGGGCCTGAACTCTGGACCCCACTGGTCCAAGCTTAAAAATCAATGGCTAATGCTTTTCCAACGGTTCTTATGCAGTTTCTGCAAACGCATGGAAAGGATCCCTGGAGGTTTACTTTCTTGAAAAACGTGTGTTATGTATGTAAACCCGGGTGGTGGCATGCGGTAGATCGTGGAGGGGCTAACGGGTGATTTTCAAGCCAAACTAGTGTTATGAAATCTCATACTAGGTTCATGCGTGGCCCAGCAGGCTGCAGCCAATCATGGAGCAGCACACCTGAGGAAGTCACGTCGTCAGGCTAGAAAAGGTGCAGGTGTGGCCCATCAGGCTGCAAGAGATCATGCAGGGGCACAAGGACACAAATTGTCTTTTACATTATAATTTTTTCTTCTTTGCGTAGCTTAGTCAAGAATCCTTAAACAGAAATTATGAAGTAGACACAGATTCTGAAGAATCTCTCATCCAAATGGTGCAATATGAATCTTCAGCGAACACTGATTTAACTGTCAAGAAGAAACATATTAAAAAAGTATAGGAAAAAAAGTCAACTATGCTTTTCTTCAAGAGAAATAAGATTGTTATCATGCAGCTTCCAAAAAGAAAAATGGAGCAAGAGTTTACAGCAAGAGACACTTCTGCCTAGCTTGACTCTCCCCAGACCCTTGTAGTTCGCTGAGCTTCACACAAGGGTCTGGGTCTGCTTCATAGCAGATGAATTTCAGGAGGCGGGGCCATGTAAAAAAATACTTGTATGTGATTGGATAAACCACTTGTCTGCTATCTTGAATAACGAGTTCCTTCAACCACTCACATCGAAGCTCACGATTCAGCACACGGCTCCCATGGGCCGTATGTGAGAGTTGGATGGGTTTGTATCACTGGCGCAGAGAGACGCGTGTCACACACACCAACAATTATTTGCAGTTTTAGAACATGGAATACAGACAGTCGAGGCCCTCCAAGATTGCTTTGACAGGGCCCTCAGGGACAAGCTCTGCGACCCCCGTAATGGCATGATGGAGTGCATCACGCGATATGTAAACTTCTGCTTTGAGAACACCTTGGTGGCCTGGAAGCTGCGGTGTTCCGCCAACAACAAGCCCTAGATTAATTCCGACATAAAAAGGCTCTGCTGAAGGCAAAGAAGCGCGCTTTTCGATCTGGGAACATAGAGGAGCTGGGAACTGTACAGAGACATTGAGAACGTTAGTGAGAGAGGCCAAAGCCTGATACAGGGTCAAAATGGAAAAACAGCGGAGGAAACAAAACATCAAAGGGGTTTGGGACAATCTGAAGGCCATCTCAGGATTCAAACCAAACCCTGTTCAGTAGGTGTGGGACAGACAATGGGTTACCCACTTTGCAACAACCGGCGCGCCGGCGGCCGTTTTTATGTTTTTAAATGTTCTGCTGGCAATAGCAGATGTATTTTGAACACCAAACCCCAAAAGCTGTATATCATTTTAAAGCTTATTTTCTTATCTACATTTATATACAAGTGTAAACTACATCAGACTTTGCATTCAAAAGATATAACACATAATGTGGGCACAAAATAAATCAATTCCGAAATAGTTTTTTACCTTTGGGCTTGTGCTGTACAAATAAATCAGCTCTCCTCCCAGCTTGCAATACATCATTCTCTCTGGAACAGTCCAAAGGAAAATTATATCCACTTGTATTTCCCAAAGTAAAATCCATTCTGCAGAAATAATCCAAAAATGTGCATTTATCTTTAGCGAAAAAAACGAAAAAAAAGAGCACAGATGTTACTCTTTCACTTTTAACGGACTTTTAGCTTTGTTTTTCACCCAAACATCTGGTATCTACGTGTTCCTTAGCTCCTTATCTTTCAAATGAGACTACTCCCGAAAAGACCAATTTTTGGGTCTGCAATAGCTCCCGCAAGTACCGCTCGTGCTGCTGTTTGCGCATGGAGGACTGATCTTTGTTGTGCTCCCAACTTGTTTGCTTTTACTTCCGGGATTTACGATTGACATGTCCTTGTAGCCAATGAGGAAAGCTTTCGAACAAGGGGTGGGACAATGGTGTCCTGTCTTATGTTGTGCCTGGACAATTGTGCGTCATGGAAGCCAAAAGACGCTCTCGAAGCTGCAATGAATTTACACTCATAAAAAAATAACTTTGACATTTAAAAAAGAAAAACACACATAGATTAGTAACTTATAAGTACCAATAATGAAAAATATTGTTTTTATGATGATTAAATGTAAGTAAAGATATTTGGCACAATTTGGCACACTTGTGCCAAATTGTGCCAAATGTGCACTACTTGATGAAAAGGAGAAACTGCATAAAAACTATAAAACTTACAAGTCTGAAACTTTAGACAGTTGTTGTCAACAACACAATGAACAGAGGGTTTGAATATTGTGAACTTACAATGAAGTATGCCTTTTTTAGGGCCTTTAGAAATTGAAAATGTTAGGCGAGGCTAAAAAAATTGGGTTTTTTTCCCTAACTTCAAAGGATGCAGAGGAAAATAGGAATGACAAACATTATTTTAGTGTTTTTTTACATAAACTAGAAGGCTCTAGCTTTAAAATGATGCATCACACAAGCATGTGAGATGTAAGATGTGTTTTTAAATAAGCAAAGACATTTGGGTATGCCCAACCATTGTGCACGAGCCAAAATGAGGCGGTTGTTAAGAGGTTAACAACTTGAACACTTTTTTACCTACGACCTGTCTGAGTGGATCCTGGACTACCTCACAGACCGACCCCAGTTTGTGAGAACTGAGGTCCTGACCTGCAGTGTGGGACCACCCCCCAGGGGACAGTCCTCGCGCCGTTCCTCTTCACCCTCTACACCGTGGATTTCAGACACAACATGGACAGTTGTGTCCTACAGAAGTTCTCCGACGACTCTGGCATCATCAGACTCAGCAGAGTACAGAGGGCTAACACAGGACTTTGTGGGCTGGTGTCAGCGGAACCACCTCCTCATCAACGCGTGGAAGACGAAGGAGATGGTGGTGGATTTCCGCAGACGTCACTCTGCCGCTCCAGCCCCAGTAAACATCCAGGGAAGGATTGTTGAGAGAGTGGACTCCTGGGTGTTCGTCTGAACCACAAACTGGACTGGACTCATAACACAGACGCCCTCTTCAAGAAGGGCCTGAGCCGACTCTACCTGCTGAGGAGGCTCAGGTCTTTTGGAGTGCAGGGGCCCCTCCTAAAGACCTTCTATGACTCTGTGGTGGCATCAGCCATCTTGTACGGTGTGGTCTGCTGGAACAGCAGCATCACAGAGAGGGACAGGAAGAAGCTGGACAAGGTCATCAGGAAGTCCAGCTCAGTCCTGGGCTGTTCCCTGGACACAGTGTGGCAGGTGGGGGACAGGAGGGTCCTGAGCAAACTAACATCTATGCTGCACCATGACTGTCACCCCCTGCAGGACACTCTGTCTGCTCTGGAGAGCAGCTTCAGTGACAGACTAATTCATCCTTAAAGCTGCACTAACTGACTTTGGGATTTTGAAGCCGCGGACTCGCTGGCCTCGCTCTTTCTGCTCCCCTCCCCGCACCCACGAAGCTATCGCCCCCCACACACACCCACTGTTGGGACGGAGCAAGCGTCTCCCAATATGGATAATACATGGACATGGATTTGCACGTGGATGGCGTGACCATAGAACGATAGAACCGGGAAGCGCGGAGGAACGGGACTTTCTTTTGGATGGCTGTCTCGCTGTGTAAGCAGTAACCGGTGACGAAGACACACGAAGTTTCAGGTTAGCTCCGAAACTTGTTGTGCTAACTCAGCTGTCTGTGCTAACGGACCTGTAGATTTCTCACGAAAGTGGGGGTCAGTGGTCCGCTGTGATTGGTCACAATCTGCGACCCGAAACACATTCTCTTCCTTGTTTCATCAAAACTCGATCTAAAATATAATGTCACGCCAGCCCAAATCTGCACTACTTTTTCTTCAAAAGGACGTATATCCCAATGCACTACATGGACATGGATAGCTTTTTTGTAATGAATACAAAAATAAAGTCAGTTAGTGCAGCTTTGATGTGTGAAGGAGAGGTTCCACGGGTCTTTCCTTCCTGCTGCTGTCAGACTGTACAACAAACAATGAGGACTAATGAACACTGCCAACTTGATCCCACGTGTCATGTGTCATTGCAATATCCTTAACTTATATCAGAATGTGCAATAACCACATGTCACTTTCACTTCACTGAGTCACTGTGTCCCAGGGCCTCATGCTGCTAATACTGCTGCTAATGTACAGATGCTAACATATACAGTAATCGCTTGCACTAGAACACACAGTACTTTACTTGCCTCTTATTTTGCCAAATGTAAAACTTTTATACTTTTACTTTATTATTATTTTCAAGATAGAGATTTTATACTTGTTATTTGATGCTAGAAATAGAGATTTTGTTTTATTTTAATTAGTATAGCTATTGTTCACTTATCCTGTGTCGTGTGCTCTTCATTCCTACTGTTCTATAACTTGTGATGCAACGATGAAATTCCCCCAATGTGGGATGAAAAATGGATCTCTTAATCTAAATGTTTTCATGACAGAAATACTGATTTATTGTGCCGAAAAACGATTGCGGTAAACCCGGAAATAACTACTAACATTAATAGAGCATTTAGGACACATTTGCAGAGAATACTTGGGTCACTCACCACTGACGTTCAGAATTCTTTGTTCAGTTTTCATGTAGTTCCAGAGATTTCTAGTTTTGAAGTAACCTATTAGCTAGCGTAGCTGTTACGGCGAAACCTTGGGAACTAACTATTTTATAAATATAATTTGAAAAAGACCACGCTTGATTAGGAGGTTCCATAAAAACAAACAACTGAACAACGTAACATGCTCGTAACTCGCACAGTTACGAGCCCTCTCTTGATGATTGACAGCCCTTGGCATCATTTGATCGGTTAAAGTGGAAAGCATGGATCTATTATAATAACTGGATAGGGTATTACTAGCTTGTAGCTGAATAACTCATGTGCTCGGGGGATTCTCGCGGTACTGCAGACTAAACCAGAACAGAATTCACGTGGGCTACCCAGAAATTTTCCCCATAGAACTCAATGCATATTAAAACAGCTCGACCTCAGCTGACAGAGAACATACAGCTTTCATAAAGTTTGGATTTTGTGGGGATTTTAGTGTCCCTTGTCATCCTGAACTTTTTTTCTTCTTAAATCCTTTGGTTTTCTTTAAATCTACACTTTAGTGCCACAAACTCTGCTCGTCTGGCTCTCGCTCTAACTCCCGCTCTGATGAACTGCTCTGATTGGTCAGAGCGCGGCCGAGCCCCTCTGTGCACGTGCGTGAGACCTGGTGTGAGACCCACACACGCGTGTTTGGCGCAACGCATTATGGGAGATCATCCACTGCGCAGAACCGGGAGGACCAGACGATGCCCAAATACAGGCGAGTTTCCCATAGATCTTTGCCAGTTTCCCATTGATTGTCGCAAATTCCAGGCGACTTCCGCTAATCTTTTCACCCCCCATGCCGTCAAAAAGCGCCACTGAGCACAACCATTCATTTGAATAGGAACGCCATCTTGGATCGCCGGGGCTTGGTGGAAAGGCATCGTGGATTTTGAGTTATAGCTAAGATAAGGGAAGGCGGGACTTACCTGTAACATTATAGTTTTATAAAATTTTCTATCAAAATTTAAGCCCAGGAGGTCAATTTAAAACAATTCTTAAAATGTTTAATTCATTTAGAGTTTCCGACTATCACTTTGAGTAGTTCCAGTAAAAAAAAATCAAGCGGAGTGTAGAGCTAATCTAAAGTTAAAACCATGTCTCTGGGTCCATCAGAAAATAGGGACCTATAGGAGGATCTTTGTTTACAGCCGCGTGTGCATGCGCCCCTCGCTGGGTGGCAAAAAGACAGAGTGGCACATACTGAAGCATAGATGCGACTAGTACTTTTAAAAGACTCAGAGGGCGAATAGCAGTGTATATAAGCACTTTAAGGCAAGAAGATCAGAGGAGATATAAAGAGAAGCTAAAAATAAGTATATGAAACCAAACTGAACAAATCCAAAGCCCATATGAGACCTGGGATGACGAGTAAAAACACTGGTCAGACTCACCTCTGTTTTGGCACCAATCTGCTGGGACTGGGACTCGGAGACATTTATTCTTACTTCATAGAAAACCAGGGACCCTTTACTCAAGAAGGGTCCGTGGTAAAAATCCCTTTCTAGCGTTTTTCACCGCGGTAAAGTGGCCCGGCATTTCACCACACATTAAAAGCGGGTTTCCCCTTTTTGCTGTTACTTATGGTAAAGGTGGAACAGGAAGCCGTGGGGATGAGCAAAATGCAATGAATGAGTGAACAAGTGCGCAGTGAAAGTAGTTGCAAAACTTAAATTTGTTTATAATTTTTTATCCCCTCATCCCCCCGGCTTCCAGTTCTACGTTTACAGTAGGTAACAGCATAAAAGGGCAACCACTTTACCGCAGCCGTTTTTCGCTTTTCCGAAAGAATTAGGAAAAAAAACGTAATCTGTCCCCAGTGGGCCGTACAACCGACCACAAGAATGGACCATTTGATTTAGTAAAACCTCTCTTCAAACATCTAAAACTAGCTAACTCTCTAGCATCCAGGTAGCTTTCTATGCTGTATTGCCACCCGCGGAAAAACTATAAACAACAACGTCACTCCAAGATCCTATATGGAACGGCCCTGTCATAGCTACCCACCAGATAGCAAAAATGGGTGTGTATGGGTGTGTCCATGTGTCTCTCACAGTCTGGGGGGACGGTATAGTTCTCGTACTCGGGGAAGTAATCCTCCAGTTTGGATTTTCCTGCCAAAATCTTGTCGGCTAAAACGTCCTGTTTGTTCAGGAACAAGATCACAGAGATGGTCTTCAAGAACCTGCAGAGGATTAGAGCTAATTCACACGGGATCCATGGGTGGGAATCTGAAGCCAAATTCAAGGGTAGCAATAAGCTAGTAGCAGAAGAGCCAATAAGGAGGAGGGCTAGAAGAAGGAGTAGCAGCAGTAGTACCTGTTGGTCCAGATGCTCTTGAACAGGTCCAGACTCTCTCTCAATCTGTTTGTGGAGTTGTCTTCTCGGATTACCATGTTGTAGCTGCTGCTCGCTGCCACAAAGATGATTGCCGTGACGTCTGAACAGAGAGCGCATGATAACATGTTATGATACATGTTAGAGCTAGGAGTCTAATTTACAGTCAGTAGGAGCCAGAGCTAATTGGAGCCAAGGTTCATTGAGTACTTCCCAATTGGGTTTCATTAAGCCGGGAGGTTAGCATTGTCCGTCTGTATCAGTGGGGGGCGGGTCCTGGCTCAAAAATTGTCCATGAGCACATGCACTGACATGCTTGTGATCTGACTCCTGGCTGTGGTGGTGTACCCGGAAACAGAATTTATTTATTTATTTATTTATTTGAATGGGACAGTGCATGTCAATGAACAGACATTAAAAACATGAATGTAAACATGCCAGATTATTGCCAAAGGCTAATTTCCATCTGTAGTCCCATAGGGTCAGGGTCACACGGGTCAAATGCAGCAACATTAACAGAAACAAGAGGAAAATGTCTAATACACACATCAGATTATTGCACACATCCCGTTAATACACACATCTCATTATTGCACACATCTCATTATTGCACACATCCCGTTATTTTACACACCCCATTACTGCATAACATCCTTGCATTACAGTCAACCAAAACTACACATGTCCTATTTGCAAACAAACCCTATCGCATGTTCCCCAACATTATTAATGGTCGCATGTTTGAGACGACCTTAACCACTCCTTTAGGAGACTTTTAAATGAAGTAAAACTAGGGGCCTCTCTTACAGAAGTCGGCAAACTGTTCCATTGCATACAGCCCTTGTACGACAGAACATTTTGTCCGAAAGTAGTTTTTCTCGCAGGAACCTCACAATCACCTCGACTCATGGCTCTGGTGGTTCGTGAAGTTGAAGTTTTGTATCTAATGTGATCGTTCAAAGGAGGGGGGGCTAACCCATGTAAACTTTTGTATATGAGACAAGCATTTTTGAATTTAATAAAGTTCTCAAAACTTAATAGTTTATATTTTGAGAGGATACTACAATGATGGTAAGTGCAAGGTTTTTTGTCTAAAACTTTCAGTGCTTTTTTTGTAGAGCCTCTCAATTGGCTTTAGGATTGTTACACCTGTTAGTGACCAACACGTTATACAATAGCTTACATGGGAAAAAATCATACAGTGCAAAAACGTCAAGGCAGCTCCGTCTGTTAATGACCTCCTTATATGATTAAAATTGGAAACGCTGAACTTAATTCTATTACCAATCATCTTCACGTGTTTTTTAAAGGATAATGTGGAGTCTATTAACACCCCTAAGTATTTAAATTCTGTTACTATTTGTAGTTCCTGATTTTCAATAAACAAATTGGAGCGGCTGATGTTAGAGGCCTTTTTAGAGAACATCATACAAACAGTTTTTTGTTTGTTTAGGAGCAGACATGACTTCGTGAGCCAACTCTGAATATTTACAAGTTCTGACGTTAGAATTTTAGCAGCTTCCTCAGATGATTTTGCACTTGCATATATCACTGCATCATCGGCATATAATTGAATGTTTACACCTTTACAAATATTGGGCAGATCATTTATGAACATGGAGAATAAAATAGGGCCAAGAACTGATCCTTGGGGGACCCCTAGTGGACAGTTGATAAAACTTGATTTCACTCCATTGACCACAGACCCTTGTTTTCTACTAGACAAATATGAAGCCATCCATTTTATGGCTTTCTCAGAAAAATTGAAAAATGGCAGCTTAGACAGAAGTATATCATGGTTCATCAGAAGTATATCATGGTTCATCAAATGCTTTTCTTAAATCTAGAAATACTGCACCCACATCAGTGTGTCTATCCAGACTACTTTTTACTCGTTCTAAAAACAATGTTATTGCAGTTTCTGTTGAATGGTGTTCACGGAAGCCAAACTGCATAGGGTGCAGAGGAGCCTGGCCGTTATTGAGATGTTCTACCAATTGTTTTGCTACCCATTTCTCCAGGACCTTGGAAAAAATAGGCAATATACTTATTGGCCTATAATTGGACACATTGGTTTTCTCACCTGATTTAAAAATTGGCGTCACAACGGCCATTTTCCAGGTCTGTGGTACAGTGGAGTGTTCAACAGATAAGTTGATTAGATGTGTGATTGGACGTGCAAGGACCTTTTTGAGTGTTTTTAGGAAGGCAGTATCCAAGTCCATGAAGTCTTTGGCTTTGGAGCCTTTCATTTGATTGATTATGGTAATAACTTCTGCTTCAGATATCTTCAGTAGTTCAAGGCTTTGGTCGTTTTCAGTTGTGCTATGAGAAAAGTTAGTTACATTAGTGCTAAAGCAAGCAGCTACTTCTTGTACTGAGCGTACAAAGAAAGAATTAAACTCTTCTGCTAGTACAGCAGGATCTTTCACAAGCTGGTTCTCTATCTTCAGCTCTAGATCACACACATTCTTATTTTTCTTCACTAAAAGTGTATTAATCTTTTGCCATATTAATTTTCCATTCCCCCCTGCATTCTCCATAATTGAAATGAAAAAAATAGCTTTGGCCTTTCGCATTTCTGTTATTAATTTGTTTCTAGTTTGTGTGTAATTCAGCCTGTCTGAGGTCAATTTTGTTTTGATAAACCTTTTCAACAATTGGTCTCTACTTTTCATCAGTTTGATGCAATTTAAGTTTATCCAAGGGGCAGATTGAGATTTTATACCTCTATGTTTTTGAGGTTTTAAAAAAGATATGTAAACTTGTTCAATTTTGGTCAGAAATGATTCAGAGCATAGATCAATATTGTTACATGAGATAATTTGTTCCCAATTTAATTCCTTTAAGGCCTTTTCTAAGTTTGGTTGCTCTCTATTTGGAATGCCTTTTGTTGTCACCCGTTTGCCTTCTTTTAGGTAATTATAACGTTGTTTGGTTAATTTTCTTGTACAGAAGATGGCATTATGGTCAGAAAGACCCGTTGCATTATCCAATGCATTCTTATGGTGCCTTTTTTGATTCGCTTTGGGTAATTTGACCGTTGCGACCAACAACATTTGCATAAGTTTGGGTCCACATTCCTGCTCATATAGCCTGTTTGAGTTCATTTGGAACCCGATTAGAGCTAACACTATGGTTAGCTTATAATGTCATATTTTACGGTCTGTCCTGTCTTTGTTTTGTCTTCTTGTGTTTCCTCTGTTTGTTTTGTCTTCTTGTATTCTATCTTATTGTTTTAACTTTGTATTATGATTTATTGTTTATTATGCTGTCTGTGCAGCACTTTGTAAACATTGTTTTTGAAAAGTGCTTTACAAATAAAGATTTATTATTATTATTATTATTATTATTAGAGCTAACACTATGGTGACGTCACACTTGGCCAGTCCCAATCGTAATATAGACTCTGTGATGTGAGCATGTTTGACTCTCATTTCAAACATTTACTACAGGGTCAGAGGGGTCACTGATGATGCAGGTGATAAAGTTAGAAAGTAATACTTTTTTTTGTGACTCACCGTTAAAACATTGGATCCACTTCCGACGCTCATCTCTCTGTCCTCCAACATCAAACATACTGAAAGTACACAAATACAAGAACTGTATTTAAAATACTACAGTACTGCTACTACTATTAAAATGACTACTGCTACACTATTGTTACTGCAGTAAATTGAACTCACTGGAAGTTTACTTTGTCAACCTGGAATCGAGTCTCAATAATCCCAGACGTGAGAACTCTGCACCTCAATAAGTCCTGGACAAAATACACCTACTTTAGACCTGGTTTGGATCTGGTTTCGACCTGGGTTGACCTGGTGTTACCTGGTCTGTTGGAGTATAGTCTTTCCTTCTCACGGCGTCTAATCGGTCAAGAAAACTGCAAATATAAATAATATTAGTCAAAAGTACTGCTGCGGCTATAATAGTAGTACGGTAGTCCTAGCAGTAGTGAAAGCCAGATCCTAGTTAGTGATGGGAGACCTCTGGGAACACCAGGTGCGAGTGTAAAGTGTCAAACTGTTGTTGTGCCCTTAGGCACACCAGACTCAATAGAGTGAGTCTGGTGTGTGTGAAAGGTTGGTTTGGTTTAGAGGGGCTGATTGCACATTCTGGTTGCCTCGCTTCTATCAGTGTGCCCCAGGGCGGCTTATCACCACCATGTTTAGATATATGATATGTGAGTCTTTGAGTGTCCAAAAAAGCGCTATCTTAAGCCGATGAATTAACATAATTTTATTAACAGTACTAGAAGCAGTAGTAGTAGCAGTAGGAGTAGTTGCAATAGCAGTAGTAGTAGTACTATTTGGCACAGTCGATGAGCTGGTACTCGTTGGCCCGTTCGAAGCACGCCTTCACGCCCTCGTCGTCCCACAGCCGCTGAGTATGCTCGAAGAAGTCCTGCGACAGAGAGGCGTGCATGACTTCAGGCGAGTCCTGCCCCCAAGAGCTGGTGCGTGACAGGCTCTGGTGAATTCTTCTGTCTGTCCTAACAAGCCCCCGGTGACATCACAGCAGAGTCCCAGGGTACCTCATTAAGACTAACCACGCGCTAACTACATGCTAATCACACATTTTGCTAACCTCCTTCCATCACTGTCAGAAAAGAGTCAAAAAATACTTAAAATGTGTACATTTAAACTACTGTAGTAAAAAGTATGACAGAGGTAAAGAGTCACTGGTTTCTCTCTGATCTGTCTCGTCTCTCTCTCAGGTTTCTTTCGCTGGTCTCTCTCTGATCTCTCTGGTCCATTTCTCTCTGGTCTCTCTGATCTCTCAGGTTCATCTCTTACTGGTCTATGTGTGGCCCTTACCTCTGGTACCACCCCTCCTCAACATTCTTTCTAATCTCTTTCTCGGGTCTCTCTCCCTGATCTCTCTCTGGTCTCTCTTTAGTCTCTTTCTCTGGTCTTTCTCTAAGACACATACCTCTGTGTACTCAAAGTCAGACAGAGGAGCGATGCCTTTGATGTAGTCGACGCGGTGCTGGTTCTGTGGGGTCCCAAGAGCCACAGGGGGGACTAGAGAGCTCATGGCTGAGATGATGGGCTGAGAGACAGAACAAGAAACAGACTGAGTGACAACAGCCTCCTCCCACAATGTAGGCTCCTGTCCTACTGACAATTTCTAAAAGCTGAGGACTCGTACCACTATCGCGTCCTTCACGTTTTTGCGGATGTCCTGGACCTTCTGCTGCTTCTCCCTGAAACACAAAGACAGGTCAAGGCTGGGGCAAGGAAGGGCCGGGGCAGGGTTGAGCTCTCACTCTGCGTTGAAGCCGTCCACGTGTAGAATCCTCATCTGTTTGACAATTGTGCTTTTCCCAGATTCACCAGCTCCTGAAACAGAAATGTGTTAGTCCTGGTCTGGTCTTGTCCCTGGTCTGGTATTTCCCTGGTTTGGTCTTGTCTAAACTGGTCTCTGCTCTGGTCTGGTCAGGTCTCTGGTATGGTCTCATCCCTGGTCGGGTTTCTGGTCTGGTCCTTTGTCTGGTCTCTGGTCTGGTCTTACCCAGCAGTAGTAGTCTATGCGTAGCCTTGTACGCCTGTCTCTCCTTCTGAAGCTGTCGTTCTATTTTCTTGTTTGCTTCACGTTTGGCTTTTTCATCCAGACGTTCCTCCTCCGTCTGTCCTCCCAGACACCCCATCTGTGAAACCAACAATCAGCAACCAGAGAGGAACCAGAACCATCTGTGGAACTAGCAATCAGTAACCAGAAAGCAACCAGAACCAGAGGAGAACCAGACCTCCTGTGACTCCATGTAACCCCAGTGCTTAGATCAGGGGTGTCCAAACTGGGGACCTCTGCTGCGCCATTAGCCCCGTTTATATCAGCTCTACTCTACTCTAGTCTCATAAATAACACGTGTTTAAAGTTGGGGTACATAACTTTAGTCTTCATCTTTTGTATAATACAGAGCCCTGTGAGTCCCTCTTTGACTTTGGGTTGAGTGAGGGTGTCCTCTCTTTTTCTCTTTTCTGCCTGAAAAAACTGGTTCAAAGATGTATTTCTGGCCTCTGTCACATGATATGAACACTTGTGATAGAAGCCACTGTTTTAGAGCCAGGAACTAGAGACATGGGTTTTATACATGTTGTGGTCGGAAAGCCCAGCTTTAATGCTATGTACACTATCAGCAGCTGTACTCGCGTTTAAAGTTCAGGACGTGATTGAGCTTTAACTTTAATGATGTGTTTATGCTCTTTAAGCGGGTGTAGTAGCGTTGGGACTCGTTAGCTCTGGTCGTCACGGTGATCACTCACATCTGGGACGAGCATTGGCTCTAAACATGTCCTTACATCTAATGCTTCCTGTGCCCATATGAGTCAGTCCTGTTTATTTATATAATCAAAGCTTCACTGTAGCTGTGCATGTTCTCCTCAGACACAAGGAGAACATGCAAACACCATTAGAAAGGCCGGTTTAGAGATGGAATGGAACTCTGGACCTTCTGCTGTGAACCACATGACCTGTGGGTGCCAGTAATGTGCAGTAAAGAGAACTGCTGTTATTACAGAGAGAAGCAGTTCCTGTAAAACTTGTTTTTCTTAACAGGGGGTTAGGACCAAGCCCCGGCGATCAAAGATGGCGGCGTTTTTAAATCAATGGATTGTGCTCAGTAGTGCATGTGCCATCACGGGCACTGATTGATTAGCGGAACTCGCCCATTTTTGGACATCATTCTGCGCAGTGGACAAGATACCATAATGCTTTGTCCCAAATACGCCCTCGTGGCATGTACATGTACTCCTTGTGTCTGCGTAGGTTTCCTCCAGGTGTTTTGTTTCCCCTACAACTTAGAATATGTACAGTAGTTCAAGGTGAATGAGTGTTTGTGAGTGCGACTGTGCGACGACAAATGGAAATTAGCCCAAGACTACAATCTGAAGTGACCTGTTCGTTGACATGTACTACCCCAACCAAATAAACAATAAACTAAACTAGTAAAGCCCTGCGTTGTTGTATGTTGCTGCAGTACAGTGTTAATGGTTTTGCACTGGTCTAGACCGGAGCAGAGAAGATTTGCGGACCGAACCAAGTGGATCAGGCAAAAATCCATTGGATGACTGCTAACTTTTTGAAAAAATGCTAATGAAGCATTCAGCATTTTACTTTGGACTAGAGCAGAGAAACTGGGGCGACAGTAGCTCAGTTGGTAGAGCATTGGCCTTTGAGCCTGAAGGTCGTGGGTTCAAGCCCACCATGAGACCTACTTCACGACTCCCACTGATGACTGCTGTCGTTGTGTCCTTGGGCAAGACACTTAACCCCACTTTGCCTGAAGCCCCCACTGAAAGATCTCAGCTCCTGTGGACTCACCACCTGCAGGAGGATCAGTGAGGGGCTGGTGCTCTGTGTGCAGCTCTGACTGCCACCCCCCCGACCCAGAAATGGATTAAGGGGAAGAAAATGGATGGATGGATGGATAGAGCAGAGAAAATGGTCCGAACCAAGCTGCTCCACCTCTGCTGCTGTGACCTGAAGTGCCGTTGCATTTTATTATTACTTTTATTTCCATGTATTTTTGTTTGTGTGGATGGATGTGTTGCTGCTACTGGACACCTGAATTTCTCAATAAAGAATCTATGTATTATAGATCCATGGGTTAGGCTCACAGGGGTATTGTGGTTTACTTCGTTAGGGACTCATGTGAGAATGTCTTGTTCAGCGATTTTACATTTTAGAAGGTTTAGCTTGGAATTTTTGTATTGTTATAGATATAATTTCAGGGTACAAACGATCCCCATGATGAACATATCACATACATGTTGTGTTCCGAGCTCATGTACTCAAGCCATTTTGTTATGAAGGAGTGACTGTTATTAACTCTTAGTGTGTGTATTATAAAGCAGAAGGAGCTGAAGTCCATCACTAACTGCTTTTGTGCTCTTACTACAGAGAGGAGCCGCTACTGAAAACTATTATATTTGTTATAGACAATAAAGAACAACCTACTGTGTGTTACCCATAAAAGGGTTTCCTGTGTCCCCATAAGGAGTGTGGTCTCGCACTTGTTTACTGCTCATTAGTTCATTACAGTCATGTTTGTGTCTTTACTTTCTCCTTCGGGACAAATGTTTCACAGCAACGAAATCAAACAGGAGCCGAGCAGCTCAAACCTAAAGCTGTGGTATGTAACTCTAAAGCCACGACAAAACTGGCTAAAACACTTTTCATCAGCTTTTTCAGACAGAAAAGTGACCACCCTCACTCAGCCAATCAGCTCTCAGCCCAAAGAGTCAAATAGTGACTACTTATATCGAGTATATAAATGCATGGAAACCTATCATCTCCATGGCAACAAGAATACTCTCACACTCAAGAAAGTTTCATAGAGCAGCTATGGAAGTTATCCATGAGCATAGGTTAAAGGTCACAAATATGTGAAAAGTACAAGAAATATATTTGTAATGAACAGGAGTCTGACCTGAGCTCAACGCTGCTGCTGCTGCTGCTGCTGCTGCTGCTGCTGCTGAGACAGGAGGGAGCAGGTACACCCCCTCCCCTTGTGTGGAAACGCTGTTTTAAACTCTGTCAACCACGTCCCCCCTCCCCTTCTGTGGATAAGAGACTAGAGACCAGAGAGAGGGACTAGGAAGAGACCATAGGGAGATTAGCGAGATAAACCAGAGATAGACCAGCAGAACCACATCCACCCTCCCCTTATGTGGATAAGAGACTAGAGAGTGGGACCAGGAAGAGATATCATAGAGAGACCAAGGAAAGACCTGAAAGAGCAGGGAGGGAGAGACCAACTAGAAATAAACCAGAGAGGTAAAGACCATCGAGAAATAACCAGAGAGAGACCAGAGATCATTAAGTGAAACCAGAGAGACCAGTAAAAGCATGTCCCCCTTCCCCTTCTGTCCACTTTCTCCGCTTTCAAACTCAACAGAACCACATTACCACACATAAACACGCACACATACACACATCATAAACACACTCATGAGGCGTTTTGTTTACACTTTATTCACATGTTAAATATGCAGCAGATTGTCCTTTTCAAACACAACACAAAACTACATCTCCCAGAATGCATCAGCAATAAATACTCTGTCATATGTACAGTGCTTTTGTGAGAACATGGACGGCAACTTCTCACGATAATCATTGAACCGTCTGCACCGGACGAGAAGGAGCGGCAGATAGGTTTACCAAAGAGAGAACATAAAGCGAGACCAGAGAGAGAGACCATAAAGAGAGAACAGAGAGAGAGACCACAGAGAGAGATCAGAAAGAGAGACCAGAGATATAATATAATGTTATATCTGAATGGGAGATATTGTACATTTTAAATGTACTGTATATGGGAGGATTTTCTTCTTCCGGGTGGATCATCTAGACCAGGGGTTCCCAAAGTTTTTAGCCCACAACCCACATGATAAATGCGCTGCTGCCCGGTGACAGCCCACCTCAACAGCCCTGTTGTGATAAATGTAAAGCATGAAATCGTTCTCCTCCATGGACAACACAGAGACAGCATCAGTAGCCGAGTTCCAGCACGCTCTGTGTCACTCTGCTACGTGTGTGGTGTGTACAACCCATAAGCCGCGTTCAAGTGATGGGCTTGGCGGGCTCCACCCTTGGCACAGGTGGAGGGTTCCTCCCTTAGTAGAGGAGGCAAAATAAGGACTATACATTTGTTCAATTTTTTTTTAATGGAATTCAACTCGCAACCCCTGTGGGGTCGGGACCCCCAATTTGGGAACCACTGGTCTAGACTGTTGGTCGTCCTAATTGTCAATCATTCTGGTGATATGCAAGACACGTTTTAATAGCCGTTCCTTCTGTGGAGGTCGAGTCTTTCCTAAAATTCTGGAAAATCCTCCTATATGAGGATTAGAAAGAACAGTTTCTGTTGTTTCTTTATCCGGTGTGTGGTGTCCGGCGCAGACTTCCCTCGTATTTGTTCAAAGTGCTTTGTTCAGTTCAAATAAACTTGTGTGTAACATCTGAATAAACACATTTACGTTTGTGCAACAGGAGAAACAGATTTGGTTCAGACACAGTTTGTACAGTGCTCAAAGAAAACACTTAAATATAAAAGATAAATATGACGCGAGGCTCCAGCTCCGTTTGATATAAAAACTTGACACGCAGGGGACACAAGGGGGCGCTGTGTCTGCACAACAACACATTCAAGACAGTGCAAAAGGAAAACAAATGCTCTGGTCAGACAAACAGGACCAGTCACTCAGCTCTATCTGCGTCAGCCGTGTCCAGGTGAACAGCTGCATCAGGTCCTGTTTATTTGACTTGAGCTTCATGAAGTCAGTGATTCTGTTTGTCAGTAGTGTTTCTGCCTCGTCTCCTCACTCCTTGTTTCCTCAATCCTCGTTTCCTCAATCCTCGTCTCCTGCCCTTCTCATCTCCTCACTCCTCGTCTCCTCCCTCCTCGTCTCCTCCCTCCTCGTCTCCTCCCTCCTCGTATCCTCACCTCCTCCCTTTGCTTCAGGCTGAGTTCAGATATTCCAGAGCCACTTCATAACAGAATTTATACTGCTCCTGAAACACAGAACACCTCAAATCAGCAAAGTACAGTAGTAGGAGTATTTCAGTATTGCAGTTGCAGTAGTTGTAAAACTATTGACGTACTGCAGTATTATTAGCAGTAGCAGTACTCACCAGCAGCTCCACCATGTTGGGCTTGTTGTTCCTCAAAGTCTTGGTTGCGTGGAACACGTCTGCGTTCCTCTGACGTCTCAACATCTCACACAGGAAACTGACGCAGCAGAAGACACCGCTGCGGCCACCACCATTACTGTGGGCGGGACACACTAGTTACTATGGCAACTACAAACAAACAGGTAATTGTGGCTTCTTCAAACAAACACTACAGCTTCACAATTAATCACAGTACTATTTTGAAACAAATATCCCATAGCAGACGTAGTAGCCGCAGTAGAACTTGTACTCACACACAGTGCACCACAGTCCGGCCCTCTCCCCCGTCGTACTCGTCCTGCCACTTCTCCACCAGAGAGACCAGTTTGAGGAAAGAGCGTTTTGATGCCGGAGTGTCTCTGTAACCGGGCCAACCGAGGAACTGGAACTGCTGCACCATGCGGAAGCCGTCCTGAGGCTGAGGAGACCATGAAGTAAAGCTGGAGTAAGTAACTTTCAGACCATTACAGAATTTTGTTATAAAATCCATGTCTCTAGTTCCTGGCTCGAAAACAGCTTATTCTATCACTCGTTTTCACATTATGTATTTTAAGGGCTCTCCCTCTGGTATCTCTCTGGTTTCTCTCTCCGGTCTCTTACTCGGGCCGTGTTGTAGATCCTGAACAATCGGCTGATGACGTCTTCCTCCAGATCTGCAGACACAAACTCCACCTGGAGCGAACCGAGCCGAGCCACGCCGTCCTCCGGCCAGTACTGCGGGCAGAGCTGTGCACACAGGTACTTCAGATACAGCACACAAGTACGTCAAATACTGCACACAAGTACAGTGGTCGGTCTGGCTCTGGGTCTCAGCAGTCAGGGTCTGGGTGTGGATTATCAGTCGGTCTACCTGAGCCGGGTCTACATCGTTGAGCATGACGATGGAGGTGCAGTGATAGTCCAGCACCAGTCTCCAGAAGTCCTTGACAGTGTTGGGCAGAGGATGCTGGGTTACAATGAACGCAGACGGCTGTTTATAACTCTGAAAGACACAGAAACAAGGCTGAGCCACACTGCCCTCTGCTGGGGAGGAGGAAACTGCCCTTTGGTGGTGGCGGAGGGACATTAATACATTCTTACATGAAACTATGTATGAATGTATAAATACACAGAGACAGAGATGTGTTCCTCCTACGTGTATCTGCTGCTCTAACTGTGCCTCAGTATGTTGTAATAGTTATGAATATGATACACTTTCCCCTGCGGCGCAAGATAAGAAATACTTTATTGATCTCACACAGGAGAAATTTACATCACACTAAGTGAATAAGAATGAGTGACAGACCATGTGTATGAATGAGTGAACAAAAGCAGATTCATGCGTGACATCATTATTGAGCAACATCTGTGATCTGAGGTATTGTTGGCGTCTCTCTTACGTCCATGAGCGCTGCGTTGATGTAGTTGGAGCTCTCTCCGTCCAGACTGATCAGAAATGGTAGACAGCGGTCCGGAGGTAGAACGTCCATCACACGGTTTTTCTCGTGGTTCCGCGGTAGAAGTGCAATACTGCAATCCTCCACACGAAGCGTCGGGGTCACCATGTTTAAAGTCTGGAACAAGAAAGGGGTTTAAACCAGGTCTTAAGTAGATCTAAAGCAGGTCTAAAGCAGGTCTAAAGCACTGACCCTGAACTCCTCTTTGATCTGGCAGGAGTTGGTCTGTGGGTCCAGTCGGTTCATCTCGTAGTAAACGGAGCGGAGTTGACTTGCCGGAATCGCTGTGTCACCGCAAAGACACGCCTCCAAGATGGCATCGTGGATGAACACGTACTGCTCCTGGAACCAGAGGACTACATGTGAGACCGGACTACAAATATGTCTGCTCCTAGTCTGGACCCTTGACAGGACAATGTCTTGTGGTCTGGTCTCAGGTCTGATCTCTGATCTCACCTCAGTCTGGACCATGTTGACTCTCCTTGCCCTCAGTTCTCTCACACAATTGTAAATGTCCACGACGCCTTCGCGTTCAGCCATGTCCAACATGATGTCGACCACAATGAAGCAGCCGGTCCGACCTGCGCCAGCACTGAGGAGCAAAGTACTGCACTTCAAATACTTCAAATACTGGGAGAAAGTACTGCAGATTCTTCAAATGATAGTGTCACTTAAAATATGTTCTCAACAAAGACCAGATTCAAAAATGCCAACAATACTACAAAGTAATTTAATACTGCAAAGACACCATACAGACCGACCCCAGCACTGAGTACACAAACACATACTTCAGATACTGCAATACAGAAAATTGTACTTGAAAGAACCACAAACAGGACAGGTTACAAGGGGGCGGCCCTTATAAACAATGGGTGAGCTTACAGCCGGGGGGCGGGGCTTACCTGCAGTGCACCACCGTGGGGCCGGCGGTGGGCGGAGTCTTGCTCTTGACTCTGCGTGTGAAGCCTAAAAGCCCTGTGGCATGAAGCGGGACGCCGTGGTCGGGCCATCCGGTGAAATGGAATTGACGAATCTCCCGGATCTCAGCCACGCCCCTCTGAGGACAAACATGAATATTAACAATAACATGACACAGCCTCTAGCTCAGTAATGTTTGTAATGTCACACTCAACATTTTGGGTTTAATTCTGCGGTTTAGTGCTCTCTGTGATACTGGTGCTTATATATACTGGTGTGTGATATTTTCTTTCTAAATTCAGATTTAAGCTAAAAAAGGACTGACCAATCCGGTCACCAATGACTATTGCTAGATTGTTTCCAGCCACAAATTTTGCTCCACTTTTCCGTTCATGGAGCCTGGGTGAGTTAGCTCTAATCCAAACAGTTCATACCTTCTCCACAGCAAAGCTCCGGATCACGTACTCCGACAGCAGCTCGGTCTCGATCAGCGTCACCTTCATGTCGCCGTAGATGTCTGTGTCGTCGGGCCAGTACTTACAGCACTTCACCTAAAGTACCACAAATACTAGTACTTACACCTACTACAGTACTTAAAAACAATTTATAAACCTCAGTATAACACTCATGTGGACGCTGGTGTCCTCCATCTGGTCCTTGGGATCCTTACCCAAAGCCTATGAGCAGAGGTCGATGCTAACCCACTAGCTCAACATTTTAGTTCAACGTTTATTTGAGATTAATAACCTCTTTTTCAACGGAGTACTGGACAAGAGGCAGCAAGTTACACAAGATTAAATAAACGTACAAATTATAAAAACAGATACATACAATTACTAAAAAAAAGTTAGATGTCAAAGAGGATGTCTCAAGTACTTTTAAAGCTTGCTAAATGCTAAGCTTCCAGCACAATGCTAAACCTCTAGCTCAATACTAAACCAATAACTCAATACTAAACCGCCAGCTCACTCTGGTTGCCATATTGGGAAGTAAAACACCTCTTGTTCAGTGACCTGTCTCTGTGTCTCGGTCCCTGTCTCACTCACCCGCCCCACCTCCACCAGGTTGGTCACCATGACGACGGCCGCTGTGTTCTCCTGCCAAACCATCCTCCAAAAGTCATACACGGTCTCCTGCATTGGACCTGAAACCAGACCAGAGAGAGACCGGAGACCAGACAGAGACCGGGTAGAACAGAAACTGGATCAGGATCAGACTAGAAAGATGGTGTAAATATCATCTTTGCTCCTTACATAAAGTCTCTAGCTTGTGTGACTTCAATTGTAACTAATATATTTCACATAATATACAGTATCTATTTATTGATCATCTATCAAAAAGTAACTAGTTACTCCTGATATTGGTGTGGACACAGGACTCTTACCCTGTGTGGCGATGTAATGATTCGGTCGGTGGTATCCCTGAAACAGAAGAGCTCAGTCAGAAACAAGTTTTAAAAACTTTGTACAAAAACTTTTTAGTATTTTGCATCTCAGATTTGTAAACACTCGTTGCAGGTAAAAAAAAGTCGTAGGTTGTGGGTTCAAGCCCACCACAAGACTTTCTCCACCGATTTCCACTAATACTGTTGTTTCCTTGGGCAAGACACTTAACCTCTGGGAACACCAGGTGCCAAAGTGGGGCGGCTGCGGCTGTAAAGTGCCAAACTGCCGTTGCGTCCTTAGGCAAGACACCCCGATTGCCTAGAATGAGTCTGGTGTGTGTGTGAATGGTTGGTGGTGGTTGGAGGGGCCGATGGCACATACTGGTTGCCTGGCTTCTGTCAGTGTGCCCCAGGGCAGCTGTGGCTACAGTAGTAGTTTGACACCACCGTGTATAGAGTGAAAGAATAATGACATGTAAAGCGTCTTTGAGTGTCAAAAAAAGCGCTATATAAAACCGATTAATTATTATTCTTGTTATTATTAAAGCCTACAGCCTCTGCTCTGGATCTACAGCCTCAGTCCTGGATCTGCAGCCTCTGCTCTGGATCTACAGCCTCAGTCCTGGATCTGCAGCCTCTGCTCTGGATCTACAGCCTCAGTCCTGGTCTCAGTCCTGGTTTATTACCTAGTAATACTTTGCATGGGAATTGTGTTGGTGCCACAATCACGTTTTAATAGTAACTATCATTGATATGAATAATTAAAGTCAAAAATAAGAATTAGTGACATATGATCTGTGTGCAGCCTGCAGTCGTCCACTAGAGGGAAACAGAGTCCAGACTAAAAGCACAGATGAGCAGGCTTCTATCGTCTCATTCCCTTTCTACACTTTAAATGAAAAAGTCAATACATTTTTGTTCAATCTATATGCCAGCAGCACTCTTTAAAGCTGGGTTCCATAACTTTCAAAAAACACCAATAGAATGTAATAAACCCATGTGGCTCTGAAACAGTTTGCTTGGATTACTAGTTTTCACATCATGTGTTTCTGAACTATGTCATTTTTAGATCAGATTTTTCAGACGGAAGAAAGAGGGCCAAAGGACCAGCCAATCAGCTCTCAGCCCAAAATGTCAAATAGTGACTCACAGGGCTCTTTATTACACAAAAGATGAAAACAGCATGTTGTGTCCGATCTATTCACAACAATTTACTGTTACAAGACTCTCGCTTTTCTACCTCTGGTCTCTCCCCCTCTCCATGTGCTTTCTCTGGTCTCTCTCTGGTCTCTCTCTGGTCTCTCTCTGGTCTCTCTCTGGTGTCTATCTCTGGTGTCTCTCTCTGGTCTCTCTCTGGTCTCTCTCACTGGTGTTTCTCTGGTCTGTCTCTGGTCTCTCTCCGGTCTCTCACTGGTCTCTCTATGGTCTGTCTCTGGTCTTTCTCTGGTCTTACTCTGGTCTCTCACTAGTCTCTCCCCCTCCCAAGCAGAAGTGTGAGGGGGTGAAGTCTGCATGTTATTCAAAGCTCGTCTCCTTTGAACGCTGTTCTTTTCATTTTTCTCTTTTTGAAATTCTCACAAACAGGAAGTGGACATGAGGCTGGTCGCCGTGGAAACCATCGACCCGCCGCCGCTTCACTGCGACCTTTACGGAGACATTGCCGCGGCGACAGAGCGCCGGAAAAAACCACCAGGAAGAGTTGTTTATCCAATTAAACCAGGTCAGAACCAGGTCTGAACCATATCTGAACTAGGTTTGAACTAGGTCTGAACCAGGTCTGAACCAGGTCTGAACCAGGTCTGAACCAGGTCCAAACCAAGTCCGAACCAAGTCTGAACCAGGTCCAAACCAAGTCCGAACCAGGTCTGAACTAGGTTCAATCATCAAGGTATGGACTGTATACAAATGGGCATTCACTTACATACACCTGTGAGCTCAGTGAGGCTCAATAGGGAAGTGCTCATGGTGAAGTTTGGCTCCAATTCGCTTTGGCTCTTTTTGACTAACATGTAAAAGTAAACTCCTCTCGCTGTGTCAGTTAGCCCATGACTCCATGACTTCTGAAATCTGTTTTTGTTAAATCAACTATTCAAAACTAGACTTTGACTGGACTCACATCGACGTAGTTGGCGTTGATGTAATCAGATCCGTCTCCGTCCGCGCTCTGCAGCCGCACTCTGGAGTGATCGTCTGAAACAAGACCAGGAAGTCAGAATGGATTTGGACCCAACCAGACCAACCTGCTGCAAAACAAGACTGGACTGGACTGGACCAGACCAGAGTAACACACTCACAGGCGATGATGTTTCCATATCGGTTTTTCATTCGGTTTTCATCTTTTTTGGCAGAATCCCACGCAGCCGACTGCCCCTCGAAAAAACTCTGATGAGAAGCAGATCCACATGGTTAGCCCAAGTCAGTGCAGATCAGTCCAGGTCAGCCCAGGTCAGTCCAGGTCAGTCCAGAACATTAATATTCGCAATTCAACATAATAGTAGACTTTTGCTCTCAGTGCCATGGCTTTGCACTGTAGAGAGGAGGAGGGGAGAGGAGAAAGGAGGAAGGAAAATGGATGGAGAGAGGAAGAGAGGAGATACAAAAATACATGTTTTGAAAATGAGTGATAGACTGAGTTTTAGAGGGGACTAGAGACATGGATTTTACTGCAAAGTTCTATTGGTGCTGTCGGAAAGTTATGTACCCCTGCTTTAAGTAAACTCTCCTTCTGCTCACATGATTGGGTCGTCTCAAGGAGGTCAGAGGAGGAGGTTCAGGGCTTAAATATGTCAGTGATATTCTGTAATCTGCTCTAATCTTGTCGTCTTGAGGAAGAGCAGATTGCAAGGCTCAGTGCAGATGTCTCACAACAAAAGAAATTCATTTTTATGTGGGATTAAACTGGGATTAAGACCAGACGTTGTGGTCCTTGTTTGAGACCGGTTCAGTCCGGATCCTGCACCATCATTTTGTCCAATTAAACTCAAGCTCCGTGCAGAATGAGGCCAAACGCAGTGATATGAGAAATATGAGGTTTCTTTAAAAGTATATACACATTTATCCTGTTTAAACGGAAAAAATAGAGAGGCGAGAGGGGAGGAAGGAGGACAGACAGGAGTGAGAGGAGAGAAGAGAGGGGAGGAGAGAGGAGAGGAGGGAGGAGAGGAGAGAAGAGAGGGGAGAAGGACCATGCACTGAGGCCCCAACGCGTCTCAACCTGCGGTCCCCTTGAGCCAGTGTGCGAAATGTAAAACCATTGCGTTTCTCTGAATAAATAGATGAAAAATCTAGAGAAGTCACTCTCACCTCGTTAAGCTGCTCGTTAGTGAAGGAGACATCGTTAGGAGGCGAAGGAGAGAGGAGAGAGGAGGTTAGGGTTAGTGACATGTACGAAGAGGGACTGAAGCAGGTTTTAGAGAAGTCTAAAGTAGGTCCAAAGCAGGTCCTAAAACAGGTCTCAGAAAGGTCTAAAGCAGGACTAAAGCAGAACTAACGAAGGACTAAAAGCAGGTCTAAAGCAGGTCTCGGATAGGTCTAAAGCAGGTCTAAAATCGGTCTAAAGCAGGTCTGAACCAGGTAGAAACCAGGACTTTCTCCAGCTCCGTGTTCAGAGTTTTAATGGAAAAGCCCTCAGGCGCCTCTCTCACTGCTGCAGGACACATGCATTATGGAGCAGACTCAAAACCGGTTACGATCCACCTGTAACCAGTCCAAGACCCTGAGACTGGTTATAATCCTGGTAGAACCAACCGTAAATTATGAAGTTCTTTTGGTCAAGACTGGACGAAGCCGATAGAAAGTCTCACCTCGTACTCCTCCTTGAACCCGTAGCCCTCCGCACACTTCATCTGGGTGATGTGCTGTAGGAGGTCAGCCACGCGGATCGCCGGGTGCACGGTTCGGGTTTGGTACAGGGTCTGGTCCTGGTACTGGCTTTGGTCCTGCTCTCGGTCTCGGTCTCGGTCTCGGTCACGCTGCTTGTAATGGGACTGGACCAATGAAGAGGTCTCGCTCTGATTGTGGGAGTCATCTGCAAGGAGAAACTACGTCTGAATCAGGTCTAAGCTAGGTCTAAACCAGGACAGAACCAGGTCAGAACCAGGAATGGACCAGTACTGGACCAGGTCTGAAGCAGGTCTGGTCCAGGTCTTCTCTAGCCTGTTAGCTCCCGCCTGTTAGTGCTTGTAAGCTCCCATTAGCTCTTTTCAGGCCCAGCCCGTTAGCACCTGTTAGCATTAGCCGGGTACAGTTTATCAGGGACTCAACATTTCATGATCATATTTCCAGTACATTGAAAACCAGCCAATCAGAGCACACGTTTCACAAACATTTAAGACATTTAAAACATATTTAACACGTAAATATGTCCACAATGATATCACACATGGAGGGTCACATGACACAAGATGGATGACAATTCTTTTTCACTCTGACGTTATAAGTAGAGTCAAACCAGTACTAAACCAGGACTGAACCAGGTCAAAGCCAGGATTACACCAGGACTGAACCAGGTCTAAACCAGGACTGAACTATGTTAAGGCCAATTCTAAATCAGGTCTGAACCAGGTCTAAACCAGGACAAAAGAAGGACTAACTTAAGGGTGTGGTTCTTTTGGGGAAAATGGTTCTTCAGATATGAACCCTGGTCCACTTCAGGCCTTTTCAAATAGATCTTCAAGACAACCAGTTTTTATGCGCTTCTGAACCAAGTCCTGTTAGAACAGTATGAGACTAAACCAGGTCTGAACCAATACTAAACCAGGTCTAAACCAAAACTAAACCAGGTCTAAACCAGGACAAAACCAGGTCTAAACAAACACTGAACTAAGTCTAAACAAGGACTAAACCAGCACCAGAACTAAACCAGGTCCAAACTAGGTCTAAAGCGGGTCTAAACAAGGACAAAACCAGGTCTAAACTATCACCAGGACAAAACCAGGTCTAAACTATCACCTGGAGTAAACCAGACCTAAAGCAGGACTCAGTGTGAAAAGCATCTGGACTCAAACCTTGTCTTTGACCTGCCTCTCATCCTGAGTTCTGATTGGCTGACACTTTCCGGCCAAAACTCATGGAATGGTGCCAAAATAAATAAACAACAAAAACAAACAAAATGAAGGACAAGAGTGGACCAATCACAGCGAGGCATGCGCACATAGACCCCGCCCCCACTTACCATTTATGGGCACTTTACCGAGAAACAAAGGAAGAAGAAAGGAGACAGGAAGTAAGCAACAACTCCAAACATCATACACCTGTGCTAGATGGCTAAGCTAATGTGGCTAGGCTAATGCGGTAAGGCGAACGAGTCTATGCTGAAACAGATATATAATATGTGGCTGAGATAAAGAAACCACTGTATCAGGTCTGAGGCTAAAGCAGCTAGGCTAAAGCTATGCTAAAACAGCTAACTGAGCTGAGCCCTGAGGAGAGACTAATCAGGCAGGTTTGACAAGGATTTTGGAAGTGACATTTTCCCCATAAGAATGTATAAAATAAATATTACATACCTGATCATAATATCAAAAGTAAGAAAGAAAAAAGTACTAGTGTGTGTGTGTGTGTACCTGTGTGTGTGTGTGTGTGTGTTGTGTATGCATGCGTGTGTTTCTGTGTGTTTTTTACAGAAAAGACAGGGACATGTGCATGTGTAAACAGGCCGAGGGGTTCTACAAGGGTGCGTTTTGGGCCCAATGTTATTTGACGAGGGACAGTGTTAGACATGGATTCATTAGAAACCGTTTCTGTGAGTGTAGGTCTGTGTTACAAGCTGAGACATGTCAGGTTTGACCCTTAAGTGTTTTGAACATTCCCCCATTTTACAGACGAGACAAATCAAACCAGCAGCAAAAATAACACGATGCAAAAAGACAAAAAATCTCAAAACAAAAGCGTCAAGTGAGATTGTCAAGAACAGATGCAGCTAACACCACTGAGAACACAACAAAAAGAAGCAGAGCATGGATGAGCTGTCCCTATAGGCCCTGACCTCTGCCTGACCTCTACCTGACCTCCGCCTGACCTCTGCCTGACCTCCTTCTAACCTCCTTCTGACCTCTGCCTGACGACTGAGCGGCTGCTGTAGGAGTGAGACTCACCTAAGATGGCCGTCGGCACAAAAGGGTCTGCAAAGACAAGAAAAAGAGACATGAGACTCCATAAACATTTATTATGTGAACAAAACAGGACTAAACCAGGTCTACCCCAGGTCTAAACCAGTACTAAACCAGGGTGTGGATCATCATTCAGCCTGTATACAGATACAGTACGTAGTGTAACTCTCAGTAAGTAAGTAGTAAGTAAGTAATCTTTATTTATATACCGCCTTTTCACTGCACATCGGAGTCTCAAAGCGGTTTACAATTGTGATTTTTGGGAGTGGAGGTGCCAGTACAGGAGGCACATGCCAGACCTATTGTACATATTTTTAGTGGTAGGGGAAACCGGAGCACCCGGAGGAAACCTACGCAGACACGGGGAGAACATGCAAACTCCACTCAGAAAGGCCCTGGTCCAACCGGGATTCGAACCCAGGACCTTCTTGCTGAGAGGCAAGAGTGCTATCCACTCAGCCACCGTGCCGCCTCAGTATAACCCAAGTTCTATGAAGCCTCTTTGGTTACATGTAAAAGTAAACTCCTCGTCCTCAGTAATCGTTTGTGTCACATTCACCATTTTAGACTCAACTCTGTGATTTTTCGCTGTGTATGATCCTGGCGTTCACTCCTCGGCTGTGTTGGAGTTAGCTCACGCAGCTTGTGTGAGTAAGCTCTAATTCTCATGAACGCACAGATATTAAAGATGGCGCCCTCACCTGTATAGTAGGAGTTTGGGATTGAGCTCATGGTGTTGGACTTCAGAGTGAAGGAAGACGGAGACGAGAGTCCTGAAAACACCAACATTATTACAATTATTTAAAACTGGGGTACGTAAATTAAGTCTTATAGATAACACATGTTTAAAGCTGTGTAATTTACATAGTTCCTGTAACTTTAGTCTAATTAAAAACACAGCTTTAAAGTCCCCCCCCCCTGATTTAATTCACCGTCTCATTCCTTTCCTTTCTGAATATTCTTCTCTATCTTTTTCATTTCTTTTGGGTGAGTTTTTACACAGAGCTGTTAAAGTGGAGCAGTAGCCGTAGGCAAGGTCACACTCCCCCCCGCCCCCCTCCATCCCCCCTCCTCCTCACACAAACCCCCACCCTCCTCCGGTCCCGGCTCTCCTCTCGCCTTTTGTCCCGCAGCTGCTTTTTTCTCGCTTCACCTTCAAACTTCAATCTCAATAATCCTCAAAATCGGATGCAGAAAAACAGCGGAAACATCAGGAAACGTGTGTTTAGTCCTCGAATGTGTTTGCCGCGTTTAGACTCCAGTCTCAGGTCTCCCATCACGACACTGATCAGGGCCAGACCTGCTGCGATTCTGTGATCTTTGACAGCAAGTAGCAGCAATCGTAGTTGTGTTTGCAGTAGTAGTAGTTCCCACAGTAGTATTAGAAGTACTAATACTTGCAATAGTTCTAGTAGTGGCAGTAGTACTTGCAGTAGTATAGCAGTAGTAGTAGTACAGCAGTAGTAGTAGTAGTAGTAGTAGGACTTGCAGTATTAGTACCTCTGGCAGTAGAGCCCTCGCTGGGCAGTGTGTGGGAGCTGTTGACCATCAGAGTCATCTCCTGTCGTGAGCTCAGAGTCTCCTTCCTCTTCTGAGACAGCTTCCTGAAAACACAAGGATTAAACTGGGTTTTGGTCTGGTCCAGCTTTGTGATTGGGTCTGGGTCCACGTCTGGGGCTGGTCTGGTCTCTGCCTAGTCTGGGTCTGGAGCTGGTCCAGGTCCGGGTCTGGATCCTGGTCCAGTTTAACGAGAGCTCAATAAAGTCTGATGTCTAAAGTTTAATGAACGTCGTAAATTTTCTCAAAGTTCAACATTTTACATCAGAATAAAAGTGATGAGTCTTTAAGAACGAGACTTTAGGAACGAGTCTTTAGGAACGAGACTTTAGGAACGAGACTTTAGGAACGAGACTTTAGGAACGAGACTTTAGGAACGAGACTTTAGGAACGAGACTTTAGGAACGAGACTTTAGGAACGAGTCTTTAGGAACGAGACTTTAGGAACGAGACTTTAGGAACGAGACTTTAGGAACAAGACTTTAGGAACGAGACTTTAGGAACGAGACTTTAGGAACGAGACTTTAGGAACGAGACTTTAGGAACGAGACTTTAGGAACGAGACTTTAGGAACGAGTCTTTAGGAACGAGACTTTAGGAACGAGACTTTAGGAACGAGACTTTAGGAACGAGACTTTAGGAACGAGACTTTAGGAACGAGACTTTAGGAACGAGACTTTAGGAACGAGACTTTAGGAACGAGTCTTTAGGAACGAGACTTTAGGAACGAGACTTTAGGAACGAGACTTTAGGAACGAGACTTTAGGAACGAGACTTTAGGAACGAGACTTTAGGAACGAGTCTTTAGGAACGAGACTTTAGGAACGAGACTTTAGGAACGAGACTTTAGGAACCAGTTCTTTAGTTGTTTGTTGGAACCAGATCTTTAGGAACTAGTGTATTTTTTGGCCCACACGGGTTCTTTGGGAACCAGGAGACACAGAGTAGAGATTAACATGTTTGAACCCTTTAAATTCTACAACACCAGAATATGTGTGTCTGTGTGCGTGTGTGTGTGTGTGTGTGTCTCTCTGTGTCTGTGTGTGTCTTTGTTTGTATAGATCTTTTGAATCTGATGATGAGCCTATTTGCTCCTGACACCAGTTAAAGCTGCTCTTTGTGCAGAAACACGATGTGGAGAAGTGTCACTGTAATCCACTTTGTGACAAGAGGATGAAGAGAGAGTGTGTGTGTGTGTGTGTTTGTGTGATTGTGTGAGTGTGTGTCTATGTAGATGTGTGTCTGTGCTTGTGTGTCAATGCATTATGTGTATGTCTCTGTGTGTGTGTATGTGCGCGCGCAGTTAAGGGATATTAAAATGTAAATGATCGTTTCATGGCCTTTTATTCACACATAAAAAATTCATCAAAGAAAATGTGTCAAACCAGGACCACTTTGTGTGTGATTACTATACATGTGTGTGTTTATGTGTGGATGTGTGTGTGTGTGTGTGCGCTACACACATTGATATGTGTGTAGGTGTCCTGTGTGTATTTCTCCTGTGTGTGTCTGAGTGTATGTCCCTGTGAGCACATGTAGGTGTCCTGTTTGTGTGTGTGTATGCGTGTATGTGTGTGCGTGTGTGTGTATCTATCCCAGTGTGCGCGTGTGTATCAGATCTTTAGAGAAATGCAGCTGCACAAGTGGCTCATTATAAACTCATTAAACTCTTCAGTCTAAGGATTCTAACAAAATGTGTGTGTGTGTGTGTGTGTGTGTGTGTGTGTGTGTGTGTGTATGTGAGTCTGTGTTTGTGTGTGTCAGATTGAGTTTCTGTCCTCGTTAGTGGGGTTTGTGATTCGATGTTTGTAGTAGTAGTGTTGATGGTAAGAAATGAGGCGATATGGTTCGGTCTCATGGAGATTAATTATGTAGTAGAAGGAGTAGTAGTAATAGTAGTACTAGTAGTCGTAGTACAAGTAGTAGTAGTACTGGCAGTAGAAGTAGCAGCAGTAGTATTGATGTGGATACAGCTACTGGCTTTAGTCTCATAAATGTAGTGAAGGAATGAGAAGTGTGTGTGTGTGTGTGTGTGTGTGTGTGTGTGTGTGTGTGTGTGTGTGTGTGTGTGTGTGTGTGTACTTTTAAAGAGCAGCAGATGAAGGACCAGATGAAAGGCCGTTTATTCTGCCTCGGGCCACACGCTTCTGGGGCCTAAAGCAGGAGCGTGCATGTGACTCCAGGAGCGTGCATGAGAATGTGTGTGTTAAACGTCTCATTAAACGCTGAGACACTGATTAGACTTTTGTTCGCATTTCGACCCCATCCCCCTCTCCCCTTCCTCTTCTCTCCCCCCTCTCCCCTTTCTCGTCTCCTCTCCCCTCTCCCCCTACACTCCTCTCTTCCTCTCTCCTCTCCCACCTTCTCCCTCCTCTCCCCCTCTCCTCTCCCCGTCTTCTCCTCAAAGCCCGGCTGCAGACTCTTTTAAGTCTTTCATGAAAAACATCGAAGGATTTTTCCATTTTTTTCTAAACGTTTTTAACTGAGCCTCAAAGAAAACTCCATTTATCCTCTTTACCAGCGGCAGGAACAGGCTGTTGCAGACCAGGTTTAGAACAGGGTTAAACCGGGTTTAGACCAGGGTGAGACCCGGGTTTAGACCATTATACGACATCCACAAAGGCCCATAGACTGCAACACCTCAAACTACGACTGCTCTTTAGTAGTTTGGGCAGCAGTAGTCTCAGCAGCATTAGTCTCAGCAGTGGTCTTAGCAGCAGTACTCTCAGTACCCAGTAGCAGTAGTCTCAGCAGCAGTAGTCTCAGCAGCAGTAGTCTCAGCAGTGGTCTCAGTAGCAGTAGTCTCAGCAGCAGTAGTCTCAGCAGCAGTAGTCTCAGCAGTGGTCTCAGCAGCAGTAGTCTCAGCAGCAGTAGTCTCAGCAGCAGTAGTCTCAGCAGTGGTCTCAGCAGCAGTAGTCTCAGCAGTGGTCTCAGCAGCAGTAGTCTCAGCAGCAGTAGTCTCAGCAGTGGTCTCAGCAGCAGTAGTCTCAGCAGCAGTAGTCTCAGCAGTGGTCTTAGTAGCAGTAGTCTTAGCAGTAGTCTCAGCAGTAGCAGTCTCAGCAGCAGTAGTCTTAGTAGCAGTCTCAGCAGCAGTAGTCTCAGCACTCAGTAGCAGTAGTATCAGCAGCAGTAGTCTCAGTAGTAGTCTCAGCAGTGGTCTCAGCGGTGGTCTCAGCAGCAGTAGTCTCAGCACTCAGTAGCAGTAGTATCAGCAGCAGTAGTCTCAGTAGTAGTCTCAGCAGTGGTCTCAGCGGTGGTCTCAGCAGCAGTAGTCTCAGTAGGGGTCTCAGCAGTAGTAGTCTCAGCAGCAGTAGTCTCAGCAGCAGTGGTCTCAGCAGCAGTAGTCTCAGCAGCAGTAGTCTCAGCAGTAGTAGTCTCAGCAGCAGTAGTCTCAGCAGCAGTAGTCTCAGCAGTGGTCTCAGTAGCAGTAGTCTCAGCAGCAGTAGTCTCAGCAGCAGTAGTCTCAGCAGTGGTCTCAGCAGCAGTAGTCTCAGCAGTAGTAGTCTCAGCAGCAGTAGTCTCAGCAGCAGTAGTCTCAGCAGTGGTCTCAGTAGCAGTAGTCTCAGCAGCAGTAGTCTCAGCAGCAGTAGTCTCAGCAGTGGTCTCAGCAGCAGTAGTCTCAGCAGCAGTAGTCTCAGCAGCAGTAGTCTCAGCAGTGGTCTCAGCAGCAGTAGTCTCAGCAGTACTCACCTCTTGTTCATGATGAGCACTACTCCAAGACTGATGATAATGAACAGCAGGACTGCTGCGATGGCTCCTGCGATCTTCACCGTGTGGTCGGTGTGGGATTCATGCTCCGGCTCAGGCTTCCGGGTCGCCGCACCTGTGAACACCACATCATGAGCCCAAACTACCACCCCGATGCAACTAATCTGCCATGCCTAGACGTCGGAGTAGTTGGGCCAATAGTGAACTGGATCTAAAGTAAACCTTAGTCCTGGATCTACAACCACAAATTGTTTTTTTCTGCTTTTTACACAAATAAGTTACAAGGCTTGAGGTTAGCTGATAGCACTGAATAGCAAATAAATTAAACCGCCAATGACCATGACTCAGAAGAAAAACAGGCTAAACTCTGTAGCAATGGTAAGCAGGTTAAATATGTTTATTTACATCAGAAAGGTTCCAACAGCATCAACACACAGACACATGCTCCTGTTTCCCCGGATGGCAAATATGGTGGCTTTGCTGGCAAAGATGGTGGCCGTCACTGGCACTGCCATAGACTATAAATATTAACGGACGCAGTGACATCTCTTTCCTCAAACTCTCTCTGGGTCCTTTACTTTTACAAGTAAGAGTAAACTCCTCTACCTCAGTGACCATTTGTATCACACTCACCATTTTAAAAAAAAAAACTTAAAACAGTGGTTTAGTGCTCTCTTAGCCTTAGCACCCATCTTAGCAAAACGTCTACCTCGTTACAGCACGAAGCTAACGCCGTCAGAACTAATGTCCATATCAGGAAATTGGCTCCTGCTAACTTGTGTTCAAATCGGCATCTCCTGCATTAAGAATTACACTATGGTGACGTTACACTCCTAATATTCGCTCTATGGGGCAGACTCAGCACTGTGTGCTCTGTGAGGGGGCGGCCTGATCTGTTCCGAGTGTCATTAGCTCAAACTCAGGGTTTCATTTCACTGGAGGGAATTGTTTCACTTCAGCTTCAGCTTTTCAATCAGCAGCTGTGGGAACTCATCTAACCTGGACCTGCACACACACGCGCATACACACACGCTCACACACGCTCACATACACACACACAGGCTCACACAGGCTCACACTCTTATCTGATCCATGTTACACCGAGGCCATCGCAGAACAGATTTACATCCTGAAGACGAGATGTAGCGGCCTTAACAGCATGTGTGTCTCTGTGTGTGTGTACGTGTGTGTGTGTCTGTTTGTATGTGTGTGTGTCTGTCAGATCAGAGGGTAGTGAAGCGACTCACCGCTTTAATACGACCACATCAAGAGACATGAGCTCCATGTCAGCGCCGGGACAGGGTGTGTGTGTGTGTGTGTGTGTACATGTGTGTGTGTGTGTGTGTGTGTGTGTGTGTGTGTACGTGTGTGTGTGTGTGTGTGTGTGTGTAATGGCACAAACAGGTGTAATATGTTACTATGAGCAGAGGTCGGCAGAACACTGAGATTAAGTGGATCAGATTTAACACTGAGGTTTGGATGAGGAGGGTGTTGTAATATACGACGTAATTAAAGCTAGGGTATGTTACTTTCAGACCCATAAAACTGTTTTAAAGCCTTCCCGGCTTTAAAACAGTTTTGTAAAAGTAATGTTCCCTGTGAGTCACAGTTTGACTCTTAGGGCTGAGAGCTGAAAAGCTGATCTAAAGATGTGACAAAGGCCAGAAATACATGATGTGAAAACTAGTGATAGAAGAAACTGTTTTAAAGCCAGGAACAAGAGACATGGGTTTATTACAGAGTTCTATTGATGTGGTCTGAAAGTTACAGCGTACAGAAAGTATTCGGCCCCCTTGAACCTTTCAACATTTCGCCACATTTCAGGCTTCAAACATAAAGATATAAAAATTAAATCTTTTTTCATGAATCAACAACAAGGGGGACACAATCGTGAAGTGGAACAAAATGTATTGGATAATTTAAACTTTTTTTACAAATAAAAAACTGAAAAGTGGGGCGTGCAATATTATTCGGCCCCTTTACTTTCAGTGCAGCAAACTCAGTCCAGAAGTTCAGTGAGGATCTTTGAATGATCCAATGTTGTCCTAAATGACTGATGATGATAAATAGAATGCACCTGTGTGTAATCAAGTCTCCGTATAAATGCACCTGCTCTTTGATAGTCTCAGGGTTCTGTTTAAAGCACAGAGAGAACCATGAAGACAAAGGAACACACCAGGCAGGTCCGAGATGCTGTTGTGGAGAAGTTTAAAGCCGGATTTGGATACAAAAAGATTTCCCAAGCTTTAAACATCTCAAGGAGCACTGTGCAAGCAATTATATTGAAATGGAAGGAGTATCAGACCACTGCAAATCTACCAAGACCCGGCCGTCCCTCCAAACTTTCATCTCAAACAAGGAGAAGTCTGATCAGAGATGCATCCAAGAGGCCCATGATCACTCTGGATGAACTGCAGATAACTACAGCTGAGGTGGGAGAGTCTGTCCATAGGACAACAATCAGTCGTGCACTGCACAAATCTGGCCTTTATGGAAGAGTGGCAAGAAGAAAGCCATTTCTCAAAGATATCCATAAAAAGTCTCATTTAAAGTTTGCCACAAGCCACCTGGGAGAGACACCAAACATGTGGAAGAAGGTGCTCTGGTCAGATGAAACCAAAATCAAACTTTTTGGCCACAATACAAAACGATATGTTTGGCGTAAAAGCAACACAGCTCATCACCCTGAACACACCATCCCCACTGTCAAACATGGTGGTGGCAGCATCATGCTTTGGGCCTGCTTTTCTTCAGCAGGGACAGGGAAGATGGCTAAAATTGATGGGAAGATGGATGGAGCCAAATACAGGACCATTCTGGAAGAAAACCTGTTGGAGTCTGCAAAAGACCTGAGACTGGGACGGAGATTTATCTTCCAACAGGACAATGATCCAAAACATAAAGCCAAATCTACAATGGAATGGTTCACAAATAGACGTATCCAGGTGTTAGAATGGCCAAGTCAAAGTCAGACCTGAATCCAATCGAGAATCCGTGGAAAGAGCTGAAGACTGCTGTTCACAAACGCTCTCCATCCAACCTCACTGAGCTCGAGCTGTTTTGCAAGGAAGAATGGGCAAGAATTCCAGTCTCTCGATGTGCAAAACTGATAGAGACATACCCCAAGCGACTTGCAGCTGTAATTGCAGCAAAAGGGGGCGCTACAAAGTATTAGTGCAAGGGGGCCGAATAATATTGCACGCCCCACTTTTCAGTTTTTTATTTGTTAAAAAAGTTTAAATTATCCAATACATTTCGTTCCATTTCACGATTGTGTCCCACTTGTTGTTGATTCTTGACAAAAAAAAATATTTGTATATCTTTATGTTTAAGCAGCCGTCCTCCTGTGGACTCACCACCTACAGAGGGTCAGTGAGGGGCTGGTGCTATGAGACTTGGGTGGCATCTCTGATTGCCACCCCCCTGACCCAGATATGGATTAAAGGGTAGAAAATGGATGGATGGATGTTTGAGGCCTGAAATGTGGAGAAATGTTGAAAGGTTCAAGGGAACCGAATACTTTCGCAAGGCACTGTATGCACCCCAGCTTTATTTTTAATGAAATAAAAAAATATATATATATGCATTTAACAGCAGATAACCACTAAGTGAAATCATAAGGATCAGAAGTATCAGTGTGTGTGTATGTCTGGGTGTGAGTGCAAGTGTGTGTCTGTGTTTGTGTATATGCGTGTGTCCAGTCCAAACACATTGATCAGAACATGTTTGTACTGGAAATCAATGACTTGTCCTTCATCTAAACCGTCTCCAAACTTCACAAGATTTCAGCAACACACACAAGGGGGTACACACACACACTTAATGTCAAGCAAGAAACATCCCCTCTGATCAATGAGAAACCTGCAGTAGGTGAGAGAACGGTCTCCTCCAAAGACCTGAAATTGCTTAAAAGCTTGGTACATAACTTTTGTCTCTTAAATAAGATATACAAGTGGGGCAAAAAAGTATTTAGTCAGCCACCAATTGTGCAAGTTCTCCCACTTAAAAAAATGAATTGTAAGATTTTTAAAGAATTTATTTGTTAATTATGGTGGAAAATAAGTATTTGGTCACTTCAAACAAAGAAGATCTCTGGCTCTCACAGACCTGTAACTTCTTCTTTAAGAAGCTCTTCTGTCCTCCACTCCTTACCTGTATTAATGGCACCTGTTTGAACTCGTTATCTGTATAAAAGACACCTGTCCACAGCCTCAAACAGTCAGACTCCAAACTCCACTATGGCCAAGACCAAAGAGCTGTCGAAGGACACCAGGAAAATAATTGTACACCTGCACCAGACTGGGAAGAGTGAATCTACAATAGGCAAGCAGCTTGGTGTGAACTACAGTAATCAACTGTGGGAGCAATTATCAGAAAATGGAAGACATACAAGACCACTAATAATCTCCCTCGATCTGGGGCTCCACGCAAGATCTCATCCGGTGGGGTCAAAATAATCATGAGAACGGTGATCAAAGATCCCAGAACCACACGAGGGGACCTGGTGAATGACCTGCAGAGAGCTGGGACCAAAGTAACAAAGGTTACCATCAGTAACACACTACGACCACAGGGAATCAAATCCTGCAGTGCCAGACGTGTCCCCCTGCTGAAGCCAGTGCATGTCCAGGCCCGTCTGAAGTTTGCCAGAGAGCACATGGATGATACAGCAGAGGATTGGGAGAATGTCATGTGGTCAGATGAAACCAAAGTAGAACTGTTTGGTATAAACTCAACTCGTCGTGTTTGGAGGAATAAGAATACTGAGTTGCATCCCAAGAACACCATACCTACTGTGAAGCATGGGGGTGGAAACGTCATGCTTTGGGGCTGTTTTTCTGCTAAGGGGACAGGACGTTAAGGAAAGAATGACTGGGGCCATGTATCGTGAGATTTTGGGCAAAAACCTCCTTTCATCAGTGAGAGCTTTGAAGATGAAACGTGGCTGGGTCTTCCAGCATGACAATGATCCCAAACACACTGCCCGGGCAACAAAGGAGTGGCTCCGTAAGAAGCATTTGAAAGTCCTGGAGTGTCCTAGTCAGTCTCCAGACCTCAACCCCATTGAAAATCTGTGGAGGGAGCTGAAAGTCTGTGTTGCTCGGCGACAGCCCAAAAAAATCACTGCTCTCGAGAAGATCTGCATGGAGGAATGGGCCAAAATACCAGCCACTGTGTGTGCAAACCTGGTAAAGACCTATAGTAATCGTTTGACCTCTGTTATTGGCAACAAAGGTTATATTACAAAGTATTGAGTTGATTTTTTGTTATTGACCAAATACTTATTTTCCACCATAATTTATAAATAAATTCTTTAAAAATACTACAATGTGAATTCCTGGATTTTTGTCATTATTTTAAATGGGAGAACTTGCACAATTGGTGGCTGACTAAATACTTTTTTGCCCCACTGTAGTTTGAACAGAAAGAGGGTGGTCTTTTGCTGTCTGTCTGAAAAAGCTGATCTAAGGATGTGCCAAAAAAGGGGAAAAAATACATAATGCGAAAACTAGTGATAGAAGCAACTGTTTTTAGAGCCAGTTCTTTTGTTGTGGCTTTAAAGTTGCGTACTCCAGCTTTAACTATTTGAGCATAGTTTCTGACCTGGCAGCTGTTTGTCTCCAGAGGCTGGAGCGGCTCCAACGAACGGCGTCGTGAGCTGAGTGACGATTATGGCAGCTACACAATGCACACACAGAGACACACACAGAGAGAGAGGGGACAGAGCAGAAAAAACAGCCAAGGTTAGTAGAAAAGCGACCCTCAAACAGCTCATATTAATTATAATCAGTCTCTGGTCTCTCTCTCAATCTCTCTCTGGTATTTCTATGATCTCAATCTGGTCTGTCTCTGGCCTCTCTCTGGCCCCTCACTCTCTTTCTTATCTCTCTCTCTGGCCTGTCTCTGGCCTCTCTCTGGCCCCTCACTCTCTTTCTTATCTCTCTCTCTGGCCTGTCTCTGGCCTCTCTCTGGCCCCTCTCTCTCTCTGGCCTCTCTCTCTCTCTCTCTCTGGCCTCTCTCTGGCCTCTCTCTTGTCCTGTCTGGTTTTTATCAGTCTGTGTCATTTTCATGTTTGAAGAATCGAGAGCAGAAAGTGTTAATTCAGAACATTGACCAGTGGTACAAATACTGTAGTAGTACCAGTAATAGTAGTAGTAGTAGTAGCAGCAGCAGCAGCAGTAGTAGCAGTAGTATTAGTATTTGGTCAAAATCTCTCACTGACCTTTGGTGGCGACACGAACACAGTCGATCTTTGTTTCCTGAAAAATAAACATGTAGCTTATTTTGCTGTGTCTTTTAACTCTGTGGGAGGAGCTACAGGGCTGTGTGAGGGTTTGACAGTGTCACATTTTCTTGTATATTTCATGAAGTTCAGTCCTGAAGTCAAAGTGGTGGTGGTTATTGCATCAGAAAAAAACATACTTAAGCTTTTAAGGAGAAAAGCAGGAAAACAGGACTTGTGCGGATGAAGCAGAAACTACTGATGTATGTGGACCTTGTTATGCTCACCACCGGTATACAACAGTATTATGTACTGATGATCTGATGAAGAGTAGAGTAGTAGTGGTAGGAGTAGCAGTACTAGCAGTAACAGTAATAGTAGCATTAATAGTAGTAGTAATAGTATTGAAGCTTAACCCATTGAGGCCGCGACGCATTCCCGCATTTCTACCTCTTGAGCCAGGAGCGCTGTTGCGCACCTCTACCAAGCCCCGGCGATCCAAGATGGTGCCCTATTCAAATGAATGGCTTGTGCTCAGTAGCGCGTGGGACATACACGAGGGCCGAGAGAATAGCAGAACTCGCCTATATTTGGGCATCGTCTGGTCCTCCCTGTTCTGTGCAGTTAATGAGCTCCCATGAAGTGTTGCGCCAAATACGTGTGTGTGGCTCTCAGCACATGCACAGAGGGGCTCGGCCGTTCTGTGACTAATCAGAGCGGAGTTAGAGCCAGTGGGGGCGGGTCTCGGCTCAAAAATGTCCAAAATGACGTGCGCTGACATGCTTGCAGTACCAACCCGGGCCGATGGGGGTGGACTCGGAATAAGAATTATTCAATGCTACCGTATAGCATCTTCTTTCCTCTTGAAAAAGGCTTTACAGGATGGTCCAAAAGTTGGCTCTTGGCCCAAAGCTACATTCCACAGGTGTGTTACTGCTGAGGGGAGTGTATTTTTTGGACCAGTCCAGTTAAGTCGCAGTGGAAATTTTGAAGGCAATGGGGCTTGTGTCGCCTGACGCATGCACAAATGTGTTTTTTCACATTTTTCACAGACTGCAAAAGTGATGCACATTAGTTTGAACGGCGGAGATAGGTGTGACTACGTCCGTTAATATTTACAGTCTATGGTTGAGCGGAGTTAGAGCAGGAAAAAAACAAGCAGAGTTTGTTGGACTAAATTACAAGAGACAATCAAATCCCCACAAAATCCAACCTTTATGAAAGCTGTAGGTTCTCTGTCAGCTGAGGTTGAGCTGTTTTCATTTACATTGAGTTCTATGGAAAATTTTTCTAGGTAGCCCGCGTGAATTTAGTCTGCACGAGCGCCCCCTGAGCCCATGGGTGGGACAGCTATAGGCTAGTAATACCTTATCCAGATATTATTACATATCCATGACTTCTACCTTTGAAGCCGGGAAAGCGGACTGTTTTTCTTTTTTGACCAATTCTCTTCATTGGTCAGGTCTCTTGACCAATTAATGCATCAGGATGTACCAGGGATGAGAATTTTCTGCGGATCCACAAATTCCGACTTTTCCCCTGTGAATATGTAATTTCTGTGAATACGTACTCGAACAGGACTCCACATCCTCCATTCTGACCCCAGGAAAAACTGTGGTCGCTCAGCGAACGCTCAGCCGTAGCATGGTCATGTACCGAGTGCGGACCATAGACGCGTGGACATGTCATTATTTGACTTTTTGGGCTGAGAGTGGATTTTTTTAATATTTTTTTCTTCATAGTTAGCGTCACTTTATTTGTCAAACTTATTGTATTGAGAAACGTGTTATTCACACATTATTTTTGGTTATATTATTATCTTTCCTGTAAGTGTATTATTCTACTGAAGGTTTACATAGGAATTAAGTCTCTATTTGCAACAGAGGCTGAGATTTCAATCATTTAGTAGAACTTCAAGTTTAAGGGTGATTCTAAAGTCGGCCATATTTTTTTATCTGTTTTACCAGGTGTGTCAAGCCTTAATGGGTAAAGTGGAAGTTCAAATTGGTAGACTGCCTACGTATTCTGACCGGGCCCATACCTTCTTCAGCCTCACATCAGCTCAACTCACTGCAGTCGTGCTAATCAAGCCAGCGCAGGTGGACACAGCACACCAAAGAGCCTTTCAAGGGCAACAACCTCCTCCCCACCTCAGCTTCAGGATTTCTTCACACGCTCACATCCACCTTGCCCTGTTGCCACCACCAGTGTCTAGGCCCCGAGGGATCATGATCTACACTCAAGCACAGATCCTCACAGAGTAAGGCCACAGCCAGGCCTGTGCGCCAAACTAATAATCAACAAACAGAACTCGCAATCACACATCTTGCCTCATCATGTAGTCTCTCCAGATTGAAGAAGTAATAATAGCGGTAGTAGTAGAAAAATGAATCACATTTCTTTAATCATTCTCGGCACATGCTCAAGCCCATTCCAAGGAGTTCAGTTGGTTTCTTAGCAGGTGAGGCCACTTTTTAAGAGGTCGAGTTCTGCCGGACTCTGGACCTATACCCTCCAGGTCGCTCCCCTCGTCCTCCCAGGAGCTCACACCTATGTTACCTATGTGAGTTCACCTGTGCAGGTTTCTCTGGTAACAAGATAATGCTAGAGAGGCACAGGGTTTTTCCCGAGCAAGGATAAGATTAAAAAAACATTAAAGTAGAGGTAGTAATAGTCGTAGTAATAGTAGTCCTAGCAGTAGTAGTCATAGTAGTAGCTGTAGCCATAATAGAAGTAGTAGCAGTTGTAGTAGTACTCACTCCATTCGCAGTACTAACAGCCTGGTAGTAGATGCCGTAGCTCTTGTGCGGCAGCAGTGGAACGTTCCAGAAACCGTTGTAGGTGCGGTTGTCTCCTGAGGTACAAATACTGCAGTCAGAAAATTACTAAAGAACTACTAAAGTACTCGTAAAGTACTACTATGCTGTAATACTACTATGGGTGAGTGCGCCTCACCAATGCAGAAGGGCGTGGCCTGGCTCAGCTCGGCGCGGCTCAGCTCGGCGCTCACATAGTACTGCGAGTTAAGACTGGTGGAGTTACTGAAGTGAACTGGGACGGGGTAGCAGCGCAGGATCTCTGCAGTACCACGCTGCAACCTGCGGGGGCGCTCCTCCTCCACCACCACCTGGTATTTACTGACACATCAGACACAAGATGGGTGTAAGACAACAGACGGAACCAGGGTCAGACAGCAGAGAGAGACCAGAGGGAGACCAGAGAGAAGCCAGAGCGGGACCAGAGAGAAACCAGAGACAGACCAGGCATGAGTTTAAAGTCCCAAATATCCTCAGATTGTAGTTTTCTCTGGTCACAGATGTTTCTCTGAGGATCCATTTTATTACCTTTAATGATTTTCTCAAGAGCAAAACAACAGATGTGAACCAGGTCTGAACCAGGACTGAATCAGGACTGAACCAGGACCGAACCAGGTCTGAACCTGGACTGAATCAGGATTGTAGATTTAAAGCCGGTGGATAGAGAAACTCCCACGTTTGTTTGTGGACCCTGTTTGAATAAAAGCTGTGATGTTCAAACAAAGACCAACGTCTGTGTGTGTGTCTCTCTATCTGTGTGTGTATGTGTGTGTCCTGTGTGTGCGTGCCTGTGTGTGTGTGTCTCTCTATCTGTGTGTATATGTGTGTGTCCTGTGTGTGCGTGCCTGCATGTGTCTGTGTGTGTTTGTGTGTGTCTCTCTCTGTGTGTGTGTTTACAGCAGTAAAGTGGCTCCTCTCATGTTTGATTCATGTCGTTCTGAGCCGCCCTGGGGCAGAGTGAGCGACAGTGGCGACTAATCTCCACATTCAGTCGTGTCAGTGGTGAATAGAAGGATTAGGAGCAGATCATGTGTTTAATGCACTGTCCTCGTTTGGGTTCGAGTGTGCAATATAAATAAATGCGCCCACTGTACATTGTGTTTAATGTTAGCATGAGAGAGACCCGTTACTGTTTTGTAACGTTGTAGATAAAGCAACATAATTCATATTTGATCTCAAAAAGGATTTAGATCAGCAACTCTTTTTTAATTATGATTAAAAACACATTTCGGGGCAATACTTCATAAAACTGTAATGCCTCACCCACCTCCTCCTCCTTCTCCTCCTCCTCCCCTCCTACTCGCCTCCTCTTCCCTCGTCTCTTTGTCTCATTAAAATTTCAAGGGTTTGGATCATTCACTTTTTATGAGAAAAACGTTCGACATTAAGAGACGACAGCAGCACTTCTGTTTGTCCGAGTGAGTCTGTGTCCGGGTGAGTCTGTGTCCGAGTGAGTCTGTGTCCGAGTGAGTCTGTGTCCGAGTGAGTCTGTGTCCGAGTGAGTCTGTGTCCGGGTGAGTCTGTGTCTGAGTGAGTCTGTGTCCGAGTGAGTCTGTGTCCGAGTGAGTCTGTGTCTGAGTGAGTCTGTGTCTGAGTGAGTCTGTGTCCGAGTGAGTCTGTGTCCGAGTGAGTCTGTGTCCCAGTGAGTCTGTGTCCGAGTGAGTCTGTGTCTGAGTGAGTCTGTGTCCGAGTGAGTCTGTGTCTGAGTGAGTCTGTGTCCGAGTGAGTCTGTGTCCGAGTGAGTCTGTGTCCCAGTGAGTCTGTGTCCGAGTGAGTCTGTGTCCGAGTGAGTCTGTGTCCGAGTGAGTCTGTGTCCGAGTGAGTCTGTGTCCGAGTGAGTCTGTGTCTGACCAAAGTATTCAAAGGGGCAGCAGTACTATTCGCCTACTGTCTCGATGCAACAGTAGTAGAAGTTGTAGTAATCAGTAGTAGTAGCAGTGGTAAAAGTAGTGCTAGTACCTCACTGGAGCGCCCCTGCTTGTGGCTGGTCTCAGTAGAACCGTAACCGTGGACTCAGTCTGGTTCAAAGGAGACTCCTGGTCATACGCCGGCATCAGAGGAGCTGCACTCAGAGACAACAACAGTTGTCAACAGTAGAAGACAGTAGAAGACAGTAGTAAACAGTAGAAAACAGTAGAAAACAGTAGTAAACAGTGGTAGACTGTAGTAAACAGTAGTAAACAGTAGTAAACAGTAATAAACAGTGGTAGACTGTAGAAAACAGTAGAAAACAGTAGAAAACAGTAGTAAACAGGAGTGGGCCCGGAGCAGGCCCTTGGAGGACCCATGGGAAAACACTGGTTTAAATGATCATTATGTGTTCTTTTGACTGTACTTAAACAGCTTTTCTATCGGCTGTCATGGCGGCTCCTTGTCATGGCGGCTCCTTGTCATTGCGTCTGTCTCTTTACCTGAGATCTTGGTGGTGACCTGGGCAGTGGCCGGAGCTCCGAACCCTTTCACGGTCGCAGCTCTGATGGTGAAGGAGTAGGTGGAGCCCGGGAACAGCCCTTTGAACAGATGCGTCGTCTCATTGGCCGGCTTAAATACGCGGCCGCTCTGATTGGTCAGATCAAACTCTGTGTCGAAAGAACTCAAGGCCTTATACGAAATCTGAAACACAGAAGTTGCACGGGTCAAGCCTGGATCTACAGCCTCAGTGCTGGATCTACACCCTCAGTCCTTGAGCTGTAGCCTCATTCCTCCTGTGTTTGTTAATATTGCATTTCCTGTGTTCTGTGATTCTGTAAGCTGTAGTGTCCAGGTGCACTATGGGAGCTGTAGTCTCACCTGATACTGTGTGATGACTCCGTACTTGTGCGACGGTTCCCTCCAGCTCAGACTGATTTGCTGCTCGTAGCTTCTGCCCACGATGGAGTCAAAAGGCACTGCCCCAGGAACTGAGGAGACAGGGGGAGAGTTGTTATTTGTACAGCACAACTCATACAAACACACTTGCCTTACAACAGGTGAGGACTGTGACACAGGTGTAATGTGAGGTACAAGTGAAAGTGTATCGTAAGCCTACCGTCCTGCTCTGTATGCACCCGGAGCTCCTCGCTCTCTTTGCGTCCCTCAGAGTTGCTAAGAACGAGTTTCAAGCTGATGTTACTAAACGGAGGAAGGTTCCGGAGCGTGTACTGTGGCAGAGAGCTCAGCGAATCAGAGACCAGCTGCTCGCGAAGCTCCGGTCCCTCTCTGACAAACACAAATGTCACATGAGTATTGACATTCTTTCCTCTCTGTTCCAACACTATTCCTCATCAAAATCTCAATGGGTATAATGGCCTCTCTTTGGGCTCTCTCTTCTCTCTCTCTCTCTGCTGTCTGGTCTTTCTGTTCTCTGGTATCTCTTTTCTCACCTGTGGCTGGCCCCTGGTGGTCTGTAGTGGTACTGCAGGGTCAGGTTGTAGGAGTGACAGCGTGTGATGTTGTATCCAAACTGCTCCCACACGATTGTCAGCTCTTTGGACTGGACTTCCACCACACGGAGGCGCCGTGGAGCATGCATCGGGTCTGGAACAGAAGTCTGATGGTCAGCCTGATTCTTCTAAAGCTGAGGTACGTAACTCTAAAGCTGGGGTACATGACTTTCAGACAACAACAAAAATGTATAATAAACCCATATCTCTAGTTCCAGGCTCTGCTCCTTAGTTTTAACATCATGTTGGCCTCTGTCACATCTTAAGATCAGTTTTTTTCAGACAGAAATGTGAAAAAGAGAGGACCACCCTCACTCAGACAATCTGCTCTCAGCGGAAAGAGTGTGCCCTCTCCCCCGTCCTCTGTCCTCTGTCCTCTCTTCAGCCCTCTCCCCCCTCCTTTTTACCATCCCTCCTCTCTCCTAAACCTCACTCTGTCTTATATTTATGGCCATCGGTGTCTGTCGCCTCTGTTCAATCATTCATGTCACTGTGTGGATAATGGCCCCAGGTTTGGGTCCGTGTCCCGGGTCCCAGGCTCCGGGTTTTGGGTCCCTGGTCTCTGGTCTATGGTCCCTGGTCTCTGGTCTCAGGTCTCTCTCTCTGGTCCGTCCAGATTAATATTTCAGTCTTGGTCTCTTTGCGCCTCAGATTTCTCGCTCTGTCGGAGAAACTTTTATTTCTCTTTTATTTGCGTCGTGTTTATTTATTTATTCATTCGATTTATTTACAGCTTTTAAAGCAGTGAGTGCGAAGAGGAAACATAAGAGAACCGAGCTTTAAACGACCTAAGGCCAAGGCTGAGACCAGGACTGAGAACACATGTAGAAGGTTCCTTCAGGTTACTTAATTCGACATATTCTTCATCATTTCCTCAAGCAAAATAACATCTGGTTTCTCTCTGTTCCAAGGTCTCTCTCTGGTCTCTCTCTGGTCTCTCTCTGGTCTCTCTCTGGTCTCTCTCTGGTCTCTCTCTGGTCTCTCTCTGGTCTCTCACTGGTCTCTCACTGGTCTCTCTCTGGTCTCTTTCTGATCTCTCTATGGTCTCTCTCTGGCCTCTCATTGGCCTCTCTGGAGGAAGACCAGTGAGAGACCAAAGATCAGAGAGACAATAGAGAGAGACTAGACATAAACCAGAGAGAGACCAGAAAGAGACCAGAAAGAGACCAGAAAGAGACCAGAGACCAGAGCGAGACCAGAGATGACATGACTCAGGACACTGTTGCTGTGAGACGACTCTAACCACGCTCATTATAAAACATTAATGTTCTCAGGATTCAGTGTTTTTTTACAAACAGCTGGAGGAACTTTTACATCGAAAATAAATAAACATTTAAATATTTAAACAGGAAACAAGCGTTTTATTATGAGCCTCCTCCTGTGTCCCCTCTCCTCTTCTCTTTCCTCTTCTCTTTCCTCTTCTCTTTCCTCTTCTCTTTCCTCTTCTCTTTCCTCTTCTCTTTCCACTTCTCTTTCCTCTTCTCTTTCCTCTTCTCTTTCCTCTTCTCTTTCCTCTCCTCTCCTCTCTCTCCTCACTCCTGCTTCCTCATTAGCTGTTGTCCCGGTGGTAAAGTGCTTGATGCGCTTCATTATTTTGTAATTAGCCAAGCGCTAACGCTAATGACTGCGGCATTAACCCCCGACAACGGGCTAATGCTAACACAACAGATCAGGTGAGGGGGGAAGGGTAGAAGTATAGGGGCAGAAGAGAGAGGAAAGAGGAGAGAGAGGAAAGCTATGAGAGGAGAAAAGAGGAGAGGAGAGAGGAAAGAGAAGGCTCTCTTGTGTGTATGCAGCTCTGTGATTGGTCCTCACCTGCACACTTGGTACGGGCCCTCAGCGCCGGCCCCGGACTCCCTGTCCCTCCCTCCAGGGGCCGGGTCAGCAGCACACAGACCTCGTACTCTGTGTCAGGGTCCAGGTGCCCGAGTTTATGAGACGCTTTGTCCACAGGGAGTGTGTCGATGACGAGGCCCCCAGAAGTACTGTACTGCACCTGGTACACATGTATATAATCATATATTGACCCTGTGCATGTGATGTCCCGGCCACGCCCACTCTCCATGACAGACAGCGGAAGTCTTGTTGTTTACTCAACTGCGAGCCTTTAGAAACTTGACCATAACAACCTGTTTCACCGAATAACAGCCAAAACTGTGATATTTTGAAGTGCGGTTGGTTGTACTAACAGGACATAAGCCAAATGTGTCTTTTTATCTGATACTTGCTCGTCATGAAGACAGAAGACGACAATGTGAGTGTTCCACTCATAAGACGTCAGTTGAGTTTTTCACTATTTTCCTCTGTAGGCTTTAGACAGAAAAGCCACAGAAAAACTGACTATTGCTAATGCACTAATGCTACCAGCAAAATGTACATTTAAATCTGCTCCAGTGTAAGGGGATGCATTGTTAACAAAATAATGATAAAGATCATGTGCGGTGAATTCGGGCAAAGTTGGACATTTCATTTAATTGATAACATTGGGGGAGAAGGTACAGGTCAACATCCAATTCCGGCAATTCTTAACTTCTCCAAATACCGCTCTTTGTGAGCCCTGACAAGACGTCTTACTTCCACCAATAACGTTATCAACCATGTGCTTGAAGCAGCCACTTTTTGATTTAGGAGAGGAGAGGAGAGTCTCAGTTTTGCTCTCGCCGCAATGCTAGTTTCCACAACTTCCGCCGTAAGCTCAAGCACAATCATGTGGCTGGATGACGTCAATGCATCTGGTCAATACCATAGACTGTAAATATTAACAGACGTAGTCACGCCTTTCTCCGCCGTTGAAACAAATGGGCCAAGAATGTTGCTCTACTGGAGCTATCTAAAATGGCTGCGAGTGGTCCCGCCCACAAGAAGATTGTGAAAAAACGCATCTGTGCCTGCGTCAGCCGGCGAGAGCTCCATTCAAAAATTAACAGCCACTAAACTAGAGTGGTCCAAAAAAATTCACTCCCTTCAGCATTGACACACATGTGGAACGGAGCTTTGGGCCAAGAGCCAACTTTTAGGACCATCCTGTAAAGACGTTTTTGAGAAGTAAGAAGATGCAATATGTTAGCATTGGCTAATTCTTCTTCTGGGTCCACCCCTATCGGCCCAGGGTGGTATTGCAAGCATGTCAGCGCACGTCATTTTGGCCACTTGCCGGGGAGCAGAGACCTGCCCCCACTGGTCAATACTAGCAGTATTAGTAGCATTAGTAGTAGTTGCAGATGCAGTATATGTATTTCTCACCTCTCTCTCAATAATCGGTCCGTCTCCGTTGATAGAATTGGCGTTGAGTTGGATCCACAGGTAGGTGGCACCGACAGCAGTGAGCTGTGGGGGGGCGATGGGGACTGGGGGCTCTGAGGGAGAGGAAGAAGAGAGCCTGATTACCGTTGTGACTCTGGCGGCCATCTTGTGTTGAGACCTGATTCAGACATGGTTTAGTCCTGGTCTAGTCCATGTTTAGTCCTGAGTTAGACCAGATCCAAACAAAAACTGCAGTTCTGTCCACTGCTTTAAGAGACGTTGACATTAGCTTGTTAGCGACACTAAAATGGCTGTGAACTTTAACTCATGTAGGGAGAGAAACCACCCTGTCACCTTAAACCTGAATGCCCCCTGAAGGCCTTCATAGGAATTACACACAGCTTTAAGATTTGTGACCTTCAGCCAATCACAACGCATCGTTATCCCATTACCCAGAAACCCCAGCGGCCCTGTTCCACTTTCTCCTCCCACTCCTGACCCAGATCTGAACTAGGTCTGAACCAGGACTAAACCAGACCTAAACCAGAACTAAACCAGGTCTGAACCAGGCCTCAACCAGGACTAAATTAAGACTGAACCAACACTGAACTAGGTCTGAACCAGGTCTGAACCAGGACTAAACCAGGTGTACATGTAGTATTATCTTTAATTATCTTGTTGTTGGACTAATAAAGGTATAATTTATTCATGAGTCATCCTCAGCTCGAAAGTCAGGTCCTCAGCTTTAAAGTCGCGTATAACTGCTTGAACAATTGTATATGTGAGTGAACGAGTGAGAACACGGCTGTAGGAAGAGCCTCCAGTTTGTGCCGCTGAATATTGATGAGTTTAATCTGAGGCTTTTCACTGATCGACCGCCGATCGATACCTCTCTTCCCCGGGCTGCTGAGGGCGATCGAGACGAGCGCCCAAAGAGGCAGATAGTGACTCACAGGGCTCTGTCACTAAATGCTTGTTCTACCTGTTCCAACACTGTTCAAATAACGTAGGGCACAAAACACACCCCTGTAGTACCCCAGTTTGCACACACAGAGCTGGAGTTGTGTTTAGCTCCATCCACTCTAATGTCTGGAACTTCCCCCCACCCCTTCTGTCTCGAAGTTCTGTTGTTCAAATTCTCCACCCCCCCTCCCCCTTCCTCCTTTTCCTTTAATGACTTTATGCAGGGTTTGTATCTACTTGAAATAAAGTCTTAATACCATTTTCTATTGGATTATAAGGTTTCAAAATCAGCTTTGGATGGCACGAAGCGAGAGGGAGAAGAGGACTGCACAAACATCTATGTTCCTTACACGGAAACCTTACAGTGATCAGCGCCAGGACAGAACGCTGCGCTGTCAGGGGACGGTGAATTAGGCGTGAGTCACTACTAAAACTTACTTAATTAAACCTTTTTGAGGCTGTAATAAAAAAAAAATTCTGGGGGAGGCCCCCAAAACCCTGTATCCATCGCGGTCCCACTGGTGTAAGTAATATGTTTAAATGTGCTGCTGACGAGAATTGAATTACATTTTTGTCTGTCAGTCCGTTGTTGTTGACGTTTTTAGTTGTTGATTTAATGGCGGTTGGATGTAACATATTACACTCAGAGGCCCTAACGGATTGTAACAATTTTCTTTCCCTGAATAAATATGTGTTTGTATGTGTTTTTGTGCCGATCTTCGTCAAGTCAATATCTAAACGGCTCATCAAGGTCCGATTCCGGGTCTGTGTTTTGCCTCATCTCTCTTCGTCCGAGGAAGCATTGAGCTAAAACATATGGAAAAAGGTGTGAGACTTCTCATAACTCGCATGACGTTACACTTACGGGTTTGAGGCTGAGACAATGCAAATGTATTAAAAAACGTGTTTTTCAATAAAATAAAGGATATTTTTTGCAGGAATCTATTTCAGATTGGCATTAACGGATAATCTGTCTGGCAATTTTCATATCCAAGTTTTTTTGACAAACCCAGGTCTTTAATTGTTTTTTTCCCCGATGGGACAGTGTATTCATGAACGGCAGAAGCTGTAAATTTACCAGAATGTTGCAAAGTAACTGATTTGCTTATGTTCGACGGTCACACTACACACACTCATTCAACCTTCATATTTTTAGTGGTACGGCAAATTGGAGTACCCGGAGGAAACCCACACAGACATGGGGTCTTGGAGGTAGAATCGAACCCAGGACCTTCTTTCTGTAAAGCATACTGTAAGTGCTATCCACTGCGCCACCATGCCGCCCTGGCCTCCTCTCCCCTTCCTCCTCTCCTAGTCTCTTCTCTCCTTGTCGCCTCTCTTGTTTTCTCGTCTCCTTTCTCTCCTCGTCTCCTCTCTCCTTCGTTAGTGCTGAGGAGGATCTGCTAACAAGGCTGATGTGACTCTTTCTCCTCAAAGTTGAACCCAAAGTCTATGACCTACTTCTGCAAAGACTTTAAAGAGACGGATTCTGACCAATCACAAGGCTCCGATCAGCTTCAACTTGCTGCACAACAAAAATGTCTCTTTTCGCATATTTGTCTCTTCTCTAAATGCCATAGACACGAGAAACAAGTCCTTATATGGGCATTTGTTCTGACGGCTTTGGTGTTGTAACAGGTTCAGATGTGTTGCTAAGACGGTTGCTAAGGCAAGCTGGAGTTTCCTTATTGGTCAGTCCAATATAAACACAAGGATCACAGAGAGTGCTGAACGACAGATTTACTGTAAGCCCAAAATGATGAGTGTGATCCAAACGGTCACAGAATCAATAGGGGCCAGAGCGAGTTGGAGCCAAATTTAACTAGGAGCACTTCCCTATTGGGCTTCATTGAGCTAGCTTGGTTTAGCATTAAGCTACCAGGTTAGCATTGTCTGTCCGTATACAGTCTGTGGTGTAGTCCGGCAGCAGAGGGTGGAGTCGAGCACTGGTCCCTGTTCTAATGAATGGACTTAATAGGGAGGTGCTGCGCAGCCGTTGCAAAGCAATTAACAGAAACGACCAGGCTCCAGTGCAGCGCCCGGCGACGTGAAACAATGCACCAACATCATTCTGCAGTAGTAGCAGCAAAAATGGACGGATGAAGGAGTAGAATACCTGTAGCATTCTAAGCACATGTATCTAATTATGGGGAAATCAGACCGCAGACGCTTGAACGCAGCACTGGACGCACATTCAATAAATTTCAGCCGCGTGAATGAAGTTCTTCCCTGCGGTGGCTCACGGCGGAAGTGTCCAAAGCAGGGTGGAAGTGGTGGGCGGGTTTTGATGTTAGCAGCTTTTTGCTGTTAGCTGTTCTTCTCCAACAATGCAGCTCTGCAGCATCTCTGTGTCTAGAGACCTTCCAGAGACTTTATATTACATCAGTATGTGTTCACGTATGTGCGCCATACGTTTATTTTCTTATTAACCAGTACTTCCGCATCGGCGAACATTAGCTGCACTTGTTCACAGTCAGTGGAAAATGAGAACTCAGGCTGGAGGCATATGTCCACAAGCACTGTGTCCCCCATTGTCAGTCCTGGTTAAGTCCTGGTTTAGTCCTGGTTTAGCTTCTGTTTTGGCTGTTTACGAGTGTCTTCAGTCTTCTCGCTCTGACCCCTAGTATCCCCTTGACCACTTTGCGGCTCTCTGATTGGTTGCCACACGTGTGGCCGGCGGAAAAAGTTCAAAAATTTTAATCTTCTGTTTTTGCTGCATGCATCCAATCCTCGTACGCACCTCCTCTGCCCCACTGCAATGCCATTGTCATTTCCGGCATTTCACATAAGACACGAGTTACCTCTTGTCCATCATAGTTTCCAACAAAAATAAATAAAGTATTGCTAACATGCTTAAAGGCACACCGTGTAACTCTTGGCCACTAGGGGCGCTAGACCTGCAACTTTCACGTTTAGCGCCCCTAGTGGCCACAAGCAACTCAGCACTGTCGCAAAAGTCAACAAACAGTCAGCCGGTGTCTTTTGAGTGTGTATTCAGACAGCATGCACTGGTGTGTGTGTTCAAACTGTAGAGACATGCCTACAGATATTGAGAGACTCTGCTGTGGTCAGCCTCCAGACCGCTGCATTAGTAATCTACCACACATGGACTTCTATATCCTGGATGAGGGAGTTCTGCGTCTAGCTCGTGCTGCGTGGAATGACATCTTTGCAGTCGATGACATCCAGGAACCAGGTGAAGAGCAGCGCTCATACAGACATGCAGCTTACAGCACGATCCCTTTCGCGTTTCCTCTTTTTAGCCTCCTCCGAAGGTTTAAAATTTTTCCTTGCCTCAGCCATGACCAGGAGTCGAGCAGGTGAAAAATGAGTAGCAAAAGCCTTAGCTCCATGAGTATATCAGCGCCTGTAGCCGTAAAGCAAGTCTTTCTTCCAAGTCACGTGACCTGGTGGCAGACGGTCCGTCTGCTCGAAACTTACATGGGCGGTATTTCAAGAGGGCAGCCCCGCTCGGAGCATTGCAAGTGTCAAGCGCTGTATATTGGCCCAAGTATTCATATAAAATAACTCATATGTGTCAACTCTTTAGGTCACAAAGTCCGCGGTGTGCCTTTAAACCAAAATAGTTGAGCAGCGTATCTGTTCTGCTCCACACGCTTACGTTTTCACCCTCCTGAAACACCGTCTTAATGTAAATGGAAGCCCAAACCAATATCCAACTCTAACGTTTTATTCTTGCAGCATTTCCGTATTAGTGGGTCCTTAATGTAAAAGTGCTAAATAAATAAACAAATGCTTACGTTTGACGGTGAGGTCTGCGTAGGAAGACACGCCCACGCCGCGCTCTGATTGGGCGAGGCAACGGTACGTCCCAGAGTCAGCTTTTGTTGTGTTCAAGACATCAAAGGTCGCTGAATATCTGCGCAAGTTTATAGGTCTGACCTGAGACACGGAGGCCCAGCGCCCCCCAGAGCCCTGCAAGAGAACTACAGATGAGAAACAGCGCCCACAGAGCCCTGCAAGAGAACTACAGGTAACTGCAGCATTAGCAGCAGCAGTAACAGCCACAGCAATGGAAGCGGCAGCAGTAGCAACAGTGGCAGTAGTAACAGCAGCAGCAGCAGCAGCAGTAGTAGTGGTGATACCTGTAGATACAGCTGGACTTGAGGCTGTGGTTGTCCGTTCACAGTGCACTGGAACGTGGCGGTCTGTCCGGCATTCACCTCCACACCTTTGATGTGCAGGAAGTGAGGCGTGCCCACTGTAACGATGAAAACAAAACGTAAAAAAACAGGAATTAAGGAGCAGCACCTGCAGTCAGAGCTTTGATTTACCCCACAATTATGGACTCAGGGTGAGAGGAGCTCGTGGTAGAGCCTCTGCTCCTCCACATGCTGCTGGAGGCTGTGTGTGAGGAGCTCTGTGTCTTTGAGGCTTCGACCTTCGGCCGATTCAATCAAAACAAACCGTTTGATCCAATTACAGCGACGATTACAAACCTCATTATCCAATTAGAGACCGGGACAGAGCAGGGTCATTACTGAGAGTGTGTGTGTGTGTCTCTGTGTGTGCGTGTGTGTGTGTCTCTGTGTCTTTCTGTGTGTGTATGTGTGTCTCTGTGTGTGTGTGTATGTGTGTCTCTGTGTGTGTGTGTATGGGTGTCTCTGTGTCTCTCTGTGTATGTGTGTCTCTGTGTCTGGGTGTGTGTGTGTGTGTGTGTGTGTGTGTGTGTGTGTGTGTGTGTGTGGTGTGTGTGTGTGTCAAGAAAAGTTTCTCCTCAATCAAATACATTTGTTTTAAAAATGAAGAACTACATACACTGTAGTAGCAGCAGTAGCAGTAGTACCAGTAGCAGTACCAATAGTAGTAGCAGTAGCAGTAGAAGCAGTAGTACTAGTGGCTGTAGTACTAGTAGCAGTAGCAGTTGCAGTAGTAGTAGTAGTAGTAGTACCAGTAGTACTAGTAGCAGCAGTAGCAGTAGCAGTATCAGTAGTAGTAGTAGTAGTACCAATTGTACTAGTAGCAGCAGTAGCAGTAGCAGTATCAGTAGTAGTAGCAGTAGCAGTACTAGTAGCAGTAGTAGCAGTAGCAGTATCAGTAGTAGTAGTAGCAGTAGCAGTACTAGTAGCAGTAGTAGCAGTAGCAGTACTCACTGCACTGGTGTCCCTGCAGACTCAAGTCTTTCAGCGCCACAACTCCTCTGGTTCCTCCGCTCACCGCTTCCACTGTCACCTTCACAAAAAAAGACATTTACATCAGACAGAAGGTTTTAGACCCGAGGGAAGTGAGATTTCAGCTGTGGAACCTGTGCTTGTGTCCAACTAGAAGGACTGTGGTGATGATCCAGGACACTTTAACATTCTACAACATGTATGACATTTATCAACATGTGTTCTATATCCTTTATGTGTTTTAACTGTTGATTCTCTGATCTGTGTTGGTGATTTCAATGGTTTTGTTAAGTCTCTGAGACGACTTCTGTTGTGATTTAGGGCTATACAAGAATAAATTGTATTGTATTGTATTGTATTGCTTGTGTACTTAGGCATAACCTGAGTGAGTGAAATGAGTCTTCGTCTGATGGTTGAAAGTGCAAACCTAAATCAGGACTAAAACAGATCTAAAGCAGGTCTAAAGCAGGTCTAAGCAGGTCTCAAGCAGGACTAAAGCGGGTCAATCTCTGCATCCCTGTGTTTGTTCACAAATCCTCTGCTTCTGATTCAGAGCAGACTCAACAAACAAACAAGAGCTGAGAACAGACTGAACCAGAACTGGACCAGGTCCAGACCAGGTCTAGACCAGGACTGGACCAGGTCTCGACCAGGACTGGACCAGGTCTAGACCAGGTCTAGACCAGGACAGGACCAGGTCTAGACCAGGTCTACACCAGGACTGGACCAGACCGAACCAGGTCTAGACCAGGTCTGGACTACAGTGGAATTCATGCTTTGGGGAAAATTTTCTGGGACAAAGTTCAAACAGGAAACAGGTGAATGACAGGAAGTAGAGCAGAGGGCGGGACATCCTGTCTGACTGATCCCAAAGATGCTCTTTCAACTTTTGAAAACTGTGGAACTGTGCTAAACAGCTAGCTAAATGCTAACCTGCTCGCTCTATGTTAACCTGTTTGCTCAATGAAGCCCAACAGGGAAGTGCTCATGGTGAAGTTTGGCTCCAACTTGCTCTGGCTCTTATTGACTTACATGTAAAAGTAAACTCCTCTAGCTCAGTAACTGTTAGTGTCACACTCACCATTTTGGGCTTAAATCTGTGGTTTAGCACTCTCAGTGATCTTGGTGTCTATATCGTGATATTGTCTTTGTGAATGCTGATAAGAACCATCAGGTTCAAGGATTGATCAATCAAATGGCTTTATTTGCAGGGGAAACTCCAGCTTGCCTTAGCAACCGTCTTAACAACACGGCTTGAAGCTAACAAAGTCAGAACAAATGCCCATAAAAAGAAATCGGCTCCAGCTAGCTTTTGTTCAAGTCAGCCTCCCACGCATTAAAGCTAACACTATGGTGATGTCCCACTTGCTCAGTCCACCCTAGTGGGAGCGGGTCCCAGCTCAAACATGTCCAAAATGACGTGCGCTGACATGCTTGCAATACCCCTCCGGGCCGGTGGGGGTGGACCCGGAAAAATAATTATCTCTTGTAAACAGCTTTACAGGATGGTCCAAAAGACGGCTTTTGGCCCAACGCAACAATGCTGAGGAGAATGAATTATTTTGGACCACACTAGTTTAATCGCTGTGGAAATTTGAAGGCACTCGTTAAATGAATGGGACTGACGCATGCGCGTCAAATTTCAAATTTTCCAGCCCCCATGGGCATTTTGAAACTGCACATAGACAGCGAAAGTGGTGGCACATTAGTCTTAACAGCGGAGATAGGCTTGACTACGTCCGCTAATATTTACAGTCTATGGGTCACCCCAACATATTGTTAATGTGTTTACAACAACAAGAGAAGTGGTACTTCTTGCAGTGGTATTAGTACTTATGCAGTAGTAGTAGTACATCTTGCAGTTGTACTTCTTGCAATACTGGTAGTAGTACTTATGCATTACCTGATAGTAGTTGGGCCAGAAGGTGGACACAGCAATCTCCAGTTGTTTCCAGTTGTGGTATGACGGTCCTGAAGAGTTGAACACAGCAACTCCTGCTGGACTGGAGTTCTCTGAGGAAAAATTCTGAGTTAGATCTGAGGCAGGCATTATGGCTCGGATGAACATGGTAGTAGTAGTAGTAGTACAGTAGTAGCATAGTAGTTGCACTAGCAGTAGCAGTAGTAATAGTAGTAGAAGCAGTAGTATTAGTAGTAGTAGCAGTAGCAGTAGCAGCAGCAGTAGTAATAGTAGTAGTAGTAGTAGTGGTGGCAGCAGTAGTCGTAGTCACAGTAGCAGTAGCAGCAGAAGCAGAAGAAGCATTAGCAGTATAGTAGTACTCACCGGTTACGTACACGTACATTGTACTTGTACTGTAGTAGCTGAGGCTGATGCAGTGCGTGTCGTTTTCCTTCAGAACAGGTAAAAACACCTGAGCTCTCTGACCAATCAGACGCCCGGAAGTGTTGGCAACTAGGAAGTGGGAGGAGCCTGTGGAGACAAACATCGATCATGGATCTATAATAATATCTGGACAAGCTTATAGCTGTCCCACCATCGGGCACAGGGGGACTTTATTCACGCGGACTCCTCAGAAAAATGTCCTTGGTCATTGCCATGGTCCAAGTCCTAGTCCTGGTCTTGGCCTTGGTAATGGTCTTGATCCTGGTCCTGGTGTCTGTCCTTCACACTCCGCATTATTAATTACCAAGATTAATAATCTAATGAGGCTAACAAGCTTATCACCGTGTCAACAGACAACATGACTGGACCAGGTTCAAACCAGGACTGAACTAGGCCTGGACCAGGTCTTGGCCAGGTCTGAACCAGGACTGAATACGGACTAAATCCGGTCAGAACAGAACAGATTGAAGCTCAGGAGGCTGAATACTTTTGCAGGTCAGTGTAAGTAATTGCCCAGTGCATTATGGGAGCTGTAGTCCTGTGTAAGTCATGTATTTCATTACCGCCGCGTGATTGGCCGGCTCTTTGTGCTCTGAGTTATGTCCCGCTTTAAAAGAAGCCGCTGACAAATGACAACGCAGCGTCATTAAATCAAGCGGCCAATCAGGCGCGAGACAGCAGCGAGGACACGAGAGGCGATCAGTGCGAGTTATAGGAGGCACTGGAGGGAGGAGAGAGAAGGGCGGGAGAAAGGGAGAAGAGAGATGGGAGTGTGGAGGAGAGAGAGGAGATGAAAAGAGGAGAAAGGAAAGAGGAGAGGAGAGAGAGAGAAGAGGGGGGAGCAGTGTGGAGAGGAGAGAAGAGCAGAGAGGAGAGAGAAGAGAGGAGAGATAGGAGAGGAAAGGAGGACTGAGGAGAGGAGAGGGGAGACCGGAAAGGAGGAGAGAGGACCACAACACGCCCTCTTCATTTTGTTATAACACATGTCATTGTTTGCATACTTAGGAAAGAGCCCTGTGAGTCACTATTTGACTCTTTGGGATGTGTGGGGACACAGACCTGGGGGGAGCCAGGCGCTGGAGGCTCCGCGAGCGTCTCCCTGCTCCCAATCGAAGTCATCGTCTCTGGACTGTGTCATGTGGCAGTCAGGGCCCTGGTCCTGGAGACAAGCTGAGGAGGAGAAAGAGAATTAGAACCAGGAAGAGAGGAGAAGCTGATTTTAACATTAGCTGGAGCCAGTTTCTTTATGGGTGCTAAAGCAAGCTGGAGTTTCCTCTACAAATGAAGGCATCTGATTGTTCAATGGCTCAAATCTGTATTTAGAAAGACGATATCAGAATACAAACACCAGGATCACAGAGAGCACTAAACCTTACAGTAGATTTAAGCCCAAAATGGTGAGAGTGACACAAACGGTTACTGAGCTAGAGGAGTTTACTTTTACATATAAGTCAATAGGTGCCAGAGAGAGAGCTCGTGGTTAGCATTGTCTATGTGTATACAGTCCATTAAATCCAGTAAAACACACACACACAGAAACACAACGCACACACAACCATGCACAGAGACACACACTCACACACACACACACACACACACAGTCTCTCTTCGCTGAGTCTGTTAAACCAGGATCAATATTTAAACTCGTCTGATTTATGTAGCAGCAGGGAACTACTGTCTCTGCAGAGACCAGGACTCGGACCAGGACCAAGTCCAGGACCAGGAGCCAAAACCAGAACCAAGACTAGGACCAGGACCAGGACCAGAACCAAGGCCAGGACCTAGACCAGGACACAGACCAGTACCAGGACCAAAGGCCTTTGATCACCTGCAGTTTGTTCTGTAGAATTGTGCGACCAGGACTGAACCAGGTCTAGAGTCTGGGACCAGGAATGAACCAGGTCTAGATTCTGGGAACAGGACTGAACCAGGTCTAGATTCTGGGACCAAGAACCAGGTCTAGGAACTGGTACCAGGACTTAACCAGGTCTAGAGTCTGGTACCAGGACTTAACCAGGTCTAGAGTCTGGTACCAGGACTTAACCAGGTCTAGAGTCTGGAACCAGGACTGAACCAGGTCTGGACCAGGTCTAGAGTCTGGGACCAGGACTGAAGCAGGTCTACAGTCTGGGACAATGACTGAACTAGGTCTAGAGTCTGGGACCAGGACTGGACTGGGACTTAACCAGGTCTAAAGCGGGTATGGAGAGTAGGACCGATATCTTCCTTTTTTGCCTCTTTGGGCTTCTGTGCTAAATCCACTGAGAGAGGTCCAGGCAGGTCCAGACAAGGACCCACTGCTGTCACATTCCAGAGACACTGAGAACACCAGGTCTGAACCAGGACTGAAGGGCTGAAGCAGGTCTAAAGCAGGTCTAAAGACATAATAAAGTAAGTCTAAGATCTAAAGCAGGTCTAAAGATAAACTAATGAAGGTCTAAAGAAAGACTAAAGCAGGTCTAAAGAAGGACTAAAGCAGGCCTAAATCAGGTGTAACGCAGGTCTAAAGAAGGACTAAAGAATGACTAAAGCAGGATTAAAGCAGATCTAAAGCAGGTCTAAATCAGGTCTAAAGAAGGACTAAAGAAGGACTAAAGAAGGACTAAAGAAGGACTAAAGCAGGTCTAAAGAAGGACTAAAGAATGACTAAAGCAGGATTAAAGCAGATCTAAAGCAGGTCTAAATCAGGTCTAAAGAAGGACTAAAGAAGGACTAAAGCAGGATTAAAGCAGATCTAAAGCAGGTCTAAAGAAGGCCTTAAACATGGCCTCCAGCAGAACTAAAACAGGACTAAAGCAGGTCTAAAGAAGGACTAAAGAATGACTAAAGCAGGATTAAAGCAGATCTAAAGCAGGTCTAAATCAGGTCTAAAGAAGGACTAAAGAAGGACTAAAGCAGGATTAAAGCAGATCTAAAGCAGGTCTAAAGAAGGCCTTAAACATGGCCTCCAGCAGAACTAAAACAGGACTAAAGCAGGTCTAAAGAAGGACTAAAGCAGGATTCATTTAATCCTCTTCGGTAAATGTCATGTGTTTACTGCAGTGGTTGCCGTGGAGACACCGCCGCTCTGGTTACCGCGGCGACTGGCCGTGTGCCGTCGGGTCGGGACCTTTGACCTTTCATATCCGCACGACCTTTAATGAGTTTCCACGGTGACGAATGAGACCGCACCAATAATAAGATTTCCGCCAATGTTCCAAAATCACAGGCCGGCAAGCTGGGCTCAGACCATATCAAGTTGGCGATCAGCAGATTTTTGCAATGGATGATCAGAGACAAACCAGGGGGAGACCAGAGACCATCCACATGAAGCAGTACAGTGTCCAACATATTTTCACGAGGACAACTTTATATAGGAAAGAGACGCACATGCAACAGTTCAAACTCTGACTTTGAGCACTTCTCACAAACACTGCGTAAACATTGTCCCTGGTGTGACTAGAAAACACTTTTATTGTGTCTAAATTACTGCTATTGCTCAGTGTGGAAGGAAGAGGAAGCACATCCTGAGACAGCTGCATCCCCTCACAGAGAGAGACCAGAGAGAGCAGAGAATGACCAGAGAGAGAGACCATAGAGAGACCAAAGCGAGACCAGAGACAGTCTAGAGCCAGAGCGAGTTGCAGCACAACCAAGAGCTCTTCTCTATTTAGATTCATTGAGCTAGCATGTTAGCATTGTCCATCCGTATACAGCTGAGGATGCTCTGTGAAAATTGGGGGCAGTGGAGCATGTGTTTAATCTGAGACGGGGTTATTAGACATGATTATTATTCTAATCCCAGAGACACACAAATACACAAACACACACATAAACAATACTGTTACATACTGCTACTCCTACTGCTACTCCTACTGCTACTACTGCAATACTTTAGTAGCACTTGGCTCTAGATGAAGTAGCTACTATTTGCCAATCGCCATCCTCCGGAGCGTGGACCAGGGAAAGGCTAAAGTGCGGACTGGGACTGGATTAGAACCGGATCAGCCTTAGACCACCTCCTCAAACCCAGACTCTGAGGACTAGAGCTGGACTGAAGCCAAGTCTTAAACCGGACTAAAGACCGAAGGGACCAGAGGGTGCAGCGAGATAAGAGCAGAAACCACAACACAAGCAGTGTTCGAATCTATCCACTTCACAAACACTTTATATTTGACTTTCTGGACGTATTTAGACTGAAGTGAGACTAATATTTACCCTAAGCAGTGCTACAAATATTGTGGACTGAGAGGATATTAATTTTTCTATCTTTTACTGCTTTTGTTGTGGGTCAACCTTGAAGCCTCATAGGCTGTTTTCTTGAGAAATCAGTTATGTCCCCGCATCAGCCCTGTGTCATTAGTCGCTAACCCTGATTAGCCGTTAGCTCTCATTAAAGGTCCCATATTACGCTTTATTACCTTTCTCTGCTTTAAACATCATTACAGTGCTGTTGGTTCTTAAATCAAGTCGTCAAAACAATACACAATAAATGTGCTGTTTGTCGTCAAAAATTATGTACATAATAATAATTCTAAAATCCAGGTGGTGATTGACAAATCACAATAAAAGATGCTAAGAACAGTCCTACCAACTCATCGTATACTTCTGTAAACTAAATAATTCGGGTCTGATTGTGGATCGAGGACATTAGGGCTTGATGTGAGGGATTGTTATTGTTGGAAAAAGTTTATTCACAGGTTTGAAATTACTCTGTACCGGTGTAACGTCGGTTTGTACCTTGTTGAGACACACTGCCTCAGGAGACGGACATAAAGTCCATGAATTACTTTTTAAGTTTAAATACAAACAAATTAGAACCATGGATCTATAATAATAACTGGATAGGGTATAACCACCAATGGGCACAGGGGGCGCCCGTGGTACTGCAGACTAATATCACGTGGGCTACCCAGAAAAAAGTCCCAGAACTCAATTTAAACTAAAACAGCTCGACCTCAGGTGACAGAGAACCTACTGTTCAGCTTTCAGAAATATCGGATTTGGTGTGGATTTTAGTGTCCCTTGTCATCCTGAACTTTTTTTCTTCTTAAATCCTTTGGTTTTCTTTAAATCCACAAATTACTGCCACAAACTCTGCTCCTTTCCTTCCCGCTCTGCTGCTGCTCTGTTCAGCAGCTCTGATTGGTCAAAACGCGGCTGAGCCTCTCTGTGCACGTGCATGAGAGCCACACGCATATTTGGCACAGCGCATCATGGGAGCTCGTCCACTGCGCAGAACCGGGAGGACCAGACGATGCCCAAATATAGGCGAGTTCTGCTAATCTCCCGGTCTCCGTGAAGTCCCATGCGCTACTGAGCACACGCCATTCATTTGAATAGGGCGCCATCTTGGATCACCGGGGTTGATTAGGACATGGATGTCTCTTTTAATGCAATTTGAGGCGAGATGTTGAGGGTTCCATGTTGTGATATGTGGGTTTTAAGATTAAAAGTTTTGTGTAAAAAGTTTGGTCTAACTAGTTAACTGCTCCTGTGGAACCACACTGCTGCTGTGCGATGGTCGCCCGCTTCTTGTCAAGTTGAGCTGCTGCATTCATCATTTTACTGACGAAGGCCGATGACACGTCCTGTGGCTAACTCGACGGCTAACAGCTCACAACTTAGTTAGATTTTGTTTATTATTTCCAGTATCACAGACAGAGGAGCAGACTCTTCTCTGCATCAGCTTGTTTGAGTTGAGGTGACATCACCTCTATGCAAGAGGTTTTGAGTGTTGCATGGTGTATAATATGGCGCCAGATTTACGGCAAAAGTCCACACGCGCAAATAATACATACACGCGCAGCTTTATTTAATTCACACGCGCGCAAACCACTCTCCACGCGCATATTTCACCCCACACACGCGCAGATTCAATACCACGAGCAACAATACGCGCGTGTGTGCGTTCGTGACATGCCTTCTCCCTGCTCGTGGTCTGTGTTCTGCGCGCGTTGAAAACTTTTGCCATCTCTTCTACGCGCGCGCAGTGTTGCCAACTCCTCAGTAAGGAAAGTAGCTATTGGCTGTCCCAAAAGTCGCTAGAAGTCGCTAAATGACGTCATCGCCTAATTTGCATAATTTGCCATTTGCAAATAACTGTAACGGACGCTGTAGGAGAGAGGAATAAGGTCGTGGGAGAGACAAAAGTGAGTAAAAACACCCTAAATATGTTTAGAACTACAAAT